TGCTTCTTTATATGTGGATTGTGAACTTAAATAAACACTGTGATAATAAGGTTAGCATGCAACTTTTGTCATTTGTTAGCTTACCTCATAGACTTAGGGTTACATGTCAGTTCTTTCCAACACTGGTACGAGCCAGTAATGATCAGAGAAATTTCCAGGACTTAATGAGGTTTGCTTTAATCCTACGTCTCTGAAATAGTGGCAAAGTACTGACTAACAAGCCTGATGCTCTTTTGAGCTGATCTTTTCTTGAATTTTCTAAATTTATTGAATTATGGTAGAACTTTGTTATCTCTAACTCATTTTACTGAAAGAAACCATTAAACTTGCAGCGTTCTAGCAGTCCAAGCCAAATTTCACAATAATCATTCAAACTCGCTAAAATTTAACACTTGAATAGCTGAAAGATTTTCCATAGTCACACCAACTTTGAGACAATGAGTTTTGACTGTAAGTATTTTCCTGGCGTTGTTAGATGGTTGGCTGTTCAAAGCTGATTGTTGAAATTGCTCTTTTCTGTGATCTGTCTGTCCATTGTTTGTAAATAATTCTTTTCATCAATACATTTTTTTTTTGCTTGGAAACTCCCAGATTTCATATGTAGGTTTCCTTTGATCCCTAGTTTTGTGTTTTCAAATTTGAAAGGGGGGGGGGGGGGGGGGGGGGGGGGGGGGGGGGGGGGAAAGGTTGCGGAGAGGTGGCCATTTTGGATTTTGAAGATGATAAATAGTCATTACTATTTCTGGTGTGATACCTGATGGATCATTCTTAATTGATCAAGAAAAACAAAAATGGTCAAAAGGCTGCTGTCATGTATATTAACAGTAACAGTTTGTTATCACAAACCACTGAGAAGGACTGTATGGATCACTCCCAATTTTCATATGTATTTATAGGTTCTCAATGGTACATAATTGTGCATTGTCCATTTTTAGACAAAAAAAAAAAAAAACAAAAAACAGAAAAAACAGGCTAAAATCATGGATTTTGATAGTAACTGTTTGTTATAGCTGTAACTTGGTATTTCTCGAGAAGTACCCGGTGGATCACTCGTATATTTTTTTATGACAAAAAGTGGTCATTTTTGATATTGAGATCTTTTAGTACTGGAATGATCTTTTTCTGCATAATGTTAGTTTCTCTTTATATTTCTTTAGCCTTGTTCAGCATTCAGATGAAGGAAGTGAATAAATGAGAAAAGAAGAGAAAGACCAAACAATTGGCATCAAGTTTTCATTGTTCACCTCCAGGCCTTTCACATTCCTATGCTCCCCGCAGGGAGAGCAAATAGTCACCGTTTTGTTTGTTCGTTTGTCCGCCTGTCATAATTTTGTCCGGAGCATAACACAAATACTATAAGTGGTATCAAGATAAAACTTACTAGGTAGATAGATCTCAACAAGGAGAAGTGCAGTGCACAAGAACCATAACTCTGTTTTACATAATTTAGGAGTTATTGAGACCTGGTGTATACATTGGTCATACTAAGAGAATGTGCAGAACACCAAATTGACAGCCTGCAGCTTCTTATTTAGAGAGTTATTGCCCTTCGATTAAATTTTGTGTCCAATAAAGTCGTTTTCTTGGAGCATTCATTAGTTTCACTGACACTCTTGTGCTATTTAGGTCCTGTATACAGTCTGCATAAGTTAGGATATCTTAAGATTGATCTGAGCCAAAATAAGTTGACATTTAATAGTGAAAAATTAGGCCAACACTGGTAAAAAAAAAGTAACAAATTTGTATCTCGTTAATCTTTTTATTTGCCATATTTTCAATATAGAAAATAGTTTGTAATCATCACAGTCTAGCATAGTAAGATAAACATATAGGTTCATACACATCTCTTTGGCTGTAAGGAGCTTGCGCCTAATATCTGGCAGCTTAGTAATAACTTATGGTAAGAAAATAGTGTTTAGATAGCACTTGTGGTTCAAATTCAATGTTACACAATGGATATATTCATAACGAAGACATTTAAACTGAATGCAAATCCTAAACATTAGGATGACAAAGCAAGTTAATGATATCAGCATGGAGTAGAATTTGTATGCCTGAACATCAACTGACTTTTTCTCTAACATCATATACTGGAATTTCAACATCAACAAATGAATTATCGCTATAACAACTATGATAAATAGGTTTTCTAGAGGGTGAACAAGTAAAGAAATGGAATGATGTTAGAGGTTTTCCAGTTAAAACTGTTATTTCCACTGTGGTGATACAATATTCAACTGTATACAAGTATTGTACATAATTGTAATCATAAATGAATCACATGCGAATTGTTGAATAATTTTTACCAAACGTTAAGTCTGTACTTCATACTGAGCGAAATGCTGATGTCAGTAAGATAATCTGACAGGATCCATTTAATGATCCAGTTCTGATAAAATAATAATCAATTTCTGACAAAAGCTTACGTCATATCTAATTCAGCCCCTGTCAGTCTGCTATAAGAACTTCCTGGTATGATATGCAAATTGTGACACACCACACAGCATAAGTACTCTTACTTCCATAAGACAGATGAGTCACATAAGCAAGTACAGATAAGGTGAAGCATGTTGAAATAAACGTTTACACAAGTGAAAAATACAGATAATTCGCCTAATCACAGAGGACACCAATGTAGTACATCAGGTGTGTCTTTCTTTCTCATCTACAAGCAGTATAATAGTGTTTCCTTTATTGAAATACTATGAAAGCTATTCCTAATTGTTCAATTGTTTGCAGTTTTAGATGTAAGCCACAAAAAAGGAAGTCTGTATTAACCTCAATTTTTCACGATTTCATTTCATCTTAAGAAATTACATAAGAATGGAACTTTTGAGTCATTTTTCGCCAAAGATTGACATAACAAGAGTGGTTGGAATCAAATTCAATTCAAGCTTCGCCGTTAAAAATTAAAATTATACAATAATTAGGATAAAATGAGATGGTAATTACTTCAGGTAAGAGATTTGGTGCTGGAAATCATGCACTGCTGAATAAATGAATTACTTATCCAAATGACAAGCACAAACATTTCCAGTCTTCATGAAAAAGCCTAGGAAGAATGGTTTCATTGAGCACAGCGTTACATTTGTACAAAAACGTTTTAGTACTATCAAGAATAAACCCCATGCCATCACAGCAAACATGACTAGTCCACAAACCAAACTTTCATTTGATTTTATCTATGACCAATTTACCTATCAAAGATCTACCACCTGTCCCCAAACAATTACACATGTAGATTGTAAAATGTATTCCCACTTCCATTAGGTCATAAAGTACATAATAATGAATGCATGACTGAGATACATAAATTTGCATAAAAAACATGTTCAAAATTAACGTATAAACAATGAACAAAAAATGCCGATACCTCTTTCAAGAAAAATATAAGAATGACAATGTTGGTTTCTTTTTAACAGATGACGTAAACAAACAAACAAACAAACAAAACAGATACACTGGATTTGATTCTCAATACCAGGTATTTACAACACAAGTTGTTTTTGTTAGTAAAATTTTATATAACTACATGTAGATGTTGATAAACAATAATATTCAAATATAGATTTTTTAACAATAGTAAACATTTTTGATATACAATCGTCATACAGAGTATAAAGTTCAATTAATATGAATTCAATGTAAATCGGAATTTCAAATTTCTCAATGATAACATAAAATAACATCATGGTCCCACATTGAGCATATGGTTTAGCATCACAGCAAAAGTGTTTTGTTTTCCACCTTCGTGACTAGGACTACCACCTCATGATGTCAGCTACTGATTCTGATGTTTGATACAACGTGCATGCATGCAGTGCAAAAAACTGCTTGAACTCAATGACATATTTTAGTGTCATTTTAATATAGATATAGGGTTAGAGTATAATGAAGCCATGCTTTTCAAATTTTTTGGACAAAAATCATAAATTTTCCCCAAGCTGACAAATCTTGTGAATGTTTTCCACAATTGGAAATTATCTTGAACAAAATTTATGTTTACCTCAATGCCAGCATTCAGGTGAACCTGCACTTCTTCATATGTATTTTCAAAAGTTATTTATGTTTAAAATGAATAAAATCAATGATATCATCATGTCATTTGTAGGTTAAAACACCGGGAGGCAAAACCAGCATTCAAAGCTACAATTCATTTCTAATTATTTTGTGTATTTTTTCTTCATATATTGTCATACAACACTTGTGCCGCTTAAATATGAAAAAAAAAAAAAAAAAAATGGTATTAGCACAGCTGGGTTGGTCAGGATACCCAAATTATTCACTTCAATCAAATTAAGAATAATCGTGTATTTCAAAAATACACAGAGTATAAATGTTGTCTCCATTACAGTAATAAATATGAAAATAAAAACTATTATAGTATTCTCTTCTGTGATCTATTAAAAAAATAAGCAATATGATTTTACACATCCTGGTTTTTTAATCTGCAAATGTTGGATTTATTAAAAAAATATTCTGATTTCATTTTCATTATTTCATAACTATCTTTTTTTCACAGAAACAAAAATTCCCTTTTCTCTTAAAAATATGCTGACATAAATTTACAGGCTTTGTCAAATAAACTTCGTTAATTTTTCAACAATTGCAATATTTTTCTAACTTATATTAATCACTCTTGTTGGCCCAAATAGAAGTGCTTGAGGAGTCTTACTGTAGGAGGAAACCTGAGTACTCAGTGGGGAAAACCCAGGTGGTCAGGCAGGTGACCTCTACCTTTTCATGTCCGTACTGAGAATCGAACCCAGGACGTCTAGGTGAAAAGCAAGTGCATTACCACTGCTCCACCTGACAGGCTTTGTTGTCAAACAAGTAATGACTACACAAAGGTCTATCTCCTACATTGTGTTAATTTGCATATCAAACTTACTGGAAAACCCCCACCCTGATACATTATCAAAATAGATTAAGTTATCCACAATGAATTGGTCATTTACCATTCAAACAAGTCAGTTAAAGAATATGTTTTATGTGGTCACTACTGGTCAGTTACATCAACACTATGACGGCTGGCAGTGAACAAGATGGCATATGAAACGATGGAGTTGATAAAGAATGTTTAAAACGTTAGCGTCTGTATACCGCAGATTTGGCATTCCTGTTTTTAGCAGAAGGTGGCGCCCCATTTCTGCCTTTTACAGAAGCAGACTGTGCATTTCGGACAGTAAATGAAGACCTTGTAACACTAGTACGTCCGTCCCGACTTTTACTGTCATTTTCCTCTTTCTTATCACTTCTAGGTGGCGCTGTTTGAGGTCGCACAACCTTTGGGAACTGTGTCTGGAACCATGCCTCAAAATCTTCTATACTCATGTCAATAATTTTTTCCCGTGCAAACTCCACGGCAGCACTGATGTCAGGACTGCAAATCTCCCATTCCCTGAGAGTTCCGAGCACCTTGATAAACTTCAGCATGCTGTGCTGCTGACCGGAACCTTCCATCTGACAAATAGGTAAAATATTAATTTAAAATCATATTGGAAATAAAGAATCACAAAGTAAACAAAGTGTTTGGTAAACACAATGTTGTCACAAGTACCTTTTTCATATTTTATAATACAGGAATGCCTATGGGAGACTCTACTTAAAAATAATGTAAAAATTCACAAATACTCATCTACAAATATCTATTTAAACCTACTTTCAACTTCATAAACCAAATGTTCTAAAGCAACTGATGGAAGACATTTCAGATGGGATTAATTTATAAATCATTATCTATAGTGTGACGTTTAAAAGACATTTTTATCAGTGATATTTGAAATCGACAACATTTTATATAGGGTATTTTCAAAAAAATGTTTTCGCATTGATTACTGGTTTTTTTTATTGCATCTAAATGAGCATATTTGATGACCCACATGTTACCATTGTCATATTTGCCGAACATCAAACTTTGTAAACAATAGCAAACAAAAGTATCCTTAGAAATTATCTATTTCATAATTTTGCTAAAGCATTCTTGAATTCATTTATTTTTTTTTGGTCCAAATTCAACGAAACTTTATTGATATAAACTTCCAGCAATCAACTAATATAGCCTTTCATTAGCTGTGGTATACCTGTCTTTGATGTTATTTAACAGGTGTGTCTGTTGATACTTATTTACTGAACTACATATTAGCAAAATTTACCTGATGTTTCCCTGTATTTATGGATTTTTAATGATGAAATAATTTGTTGATGAGTAAGAACTAACTTTACCCTTTGTGAAGTGATATAATGACATAATCCTGTTTTCCTGGTTTCTTTTTTTCTCTAAACCATTATAAACTGCTGTATATCATAACACATATTATAACCCTGACCAAAGATACACACCGAATCTTACAACATATATGTATCAACATTGATATATTAAACATGACTTAACAACCAAAGTAATTATACAAATTGTGATCCTACATTATAAAAATTCAAAATCATTGTTTCAAAAATCAAATAGATGAGACAACATGTACAGTACATTTAGCATGTCATAATGCTTAACTTCTAAAAATCCCATGAAAGTATCATTTTTTTGTTTTTGCTGAACTTGCAAAAGTTGTCAAATGTGTCCTTTGACACTTGATCCTTGACCGATGAAGGGTTTGGTAATTATTCTATAAAAGAAATGAGTAAATTTGAGCCAAATCTGTGGAGAAATTAATTAATTTGGAATGGGACAGAACTGATATTCCTCCAATAAAATGGTGGGGACATAAAAAGAAACGAGCATACTTAACCCTTTCGGCACCAATTATCTCTTACAATGTACAGCTCAGCGCCAAATATTTTCCGGAAAATATCCGAAAACAATGGCAGCATTACTGAAACAAGCATATCTTGGCTAATAATAATGATATGTAACTTTATTGACCAAAGTCGCCTACGGCGGCCTGTCTGCATGTCGACTTTAGTTGCCATTGGCGCCGAAAGGGTTAAAACACAATGCCTTCACATAATTTCAAATCGGTTTTTGTTTTTTAACAATGTGTATCAAATAGTCTTGAAAATTTTTTTCGTTTGTTTTTGTTTATCCTAATGTAAGTTAATAAGCCACACGTGCTTCCTAACTAAAACACATTGAAATGATTTTTAACATTCAGTGTTCTATAAAATTCCTACAGTGTAAGCATACAGAACCATCAGCGAGTTTTCGTCAAAAGTTTCGTACTATCAGCATATTCTTTCACTCCTTATACAACGGAAGGAAAAATGAGTAGATACCAAACCCTGTATAGCTTTAATTAAGTTAATATGTTTTCAACTATAAGAGATAATATTCAGGGTTCTTAATATCAAAACATTGATCATTCTGAAGTGACCTCCTTGGTTTCTGCCGAAAGTATGTGCCTTCATTTAAAAACTCGTTGAAAGGTTTTAATTTTTATGTAATTGTGGGGTAAGACAATACTGTAATTTTACAAAGTCTGATCCACTTCTACAACAGAGATTACATCGCTGAGAAATGAAGATATAACATCAGATTTATCCACCATTTCTGGAGAGAACATGCATTTAAGTGTATCTATCAAGATTGCAATTTATATAACATAATTCTTAAGTGTTCCACCATCATAACGCTGGAGACATCATGCAATAATTTGGTCTAAATTTCCAGAGTGTGAAAGAAGAAACATGCATGTGAAGAGAATAACGAGGAGACAGATATGTCTTAATGAGAAAAAATTTGTAATTAATGTCAAGAAATCATACAATACCTAAGATGAGTTAAGTATTCAGAACGGATGGTTCAATTTGAGAGCCAATAATAACAATGAAAAGAGTTTTTGGATAGTTCTGATATTTCACTGAGGGTTCAAGAAAAAAAAAATGTTTTGGTAAATGTTAAAACAGGCAAGTCTGTGCTCCAACAAGCCATCATAGCAATCAGGGCATTTTTATATTCTTTTAATTATTCCGTTGGTGATATAAAATGATGTGATAATTTTTCATTTGGTAAAAATAAATGTTCCAACGTTCACTTGATTCTACACATTTTCACTTGCTGTTTGGATACCACACTTTTAATCTTTGTGAATATATGTAAATTATATGAAACTACTTTTTCATAAATTAAAGATGAAAAATACTAGTTCTTGGCCTTGTTAGAGGAAATATGTAATGTTAAAACATTTTGGAAGATGCATGAGGTTAGAAATATATGATTGCAGCATATGTTCATGTTTGCTAGAGAAAGCTTGAAAGAGAGAAATGCTGTTGTATGAGCTCATGTGTGAAAGTGCCACAAAAGCTGTTCATGACGTCATGGATAACGCCAGCTGGTGGAGTGCTGTACTACCTGGATGATGGTACTGCGACGACGAGCTAGAGGGTTCTGTTAGGGAGGTAGGTAGTACTTGTGTTAATGTACATTTATGTTAAAAAAAAAAAAACACACACACACACGCTAGAGATTGTAAACTAAACCGACTGGAATTTAAAACTTTTAAAAAAAATATCTGCTAAGCATCTTTTATCATATGTAAAAATATGCAGGCACGATGGAGGACAAACAATGAGTTCTTAACAAATTAATGCATTCATATCAACATTAAATTCAAAGATGTTTCCGAATAAAACAAAAGTCAATGATACAAAAACATAAAATATGTTGATATAGACGACATAACTCATGTTCGTACAGCCCTGAAATGTTGAAATTTTTGTTAATTTCTAATTTCCTATAAATCCAGGCTTCGAACGCTGTGTCAAGAATCTGAAAGGCTGGAACACAAATCTGAAAGCAAATTTGCATAAGGCTAGGGAAACCTTTTGAACAGCATTTCTATTGTAAACATTACTACAACTAATGCCTGTGCAGATTTGATTTTATAATGACTTCATAGAAATGTTACTGATGTTTAGAATGTTAAAAAATATTGACAGTGATTCAAATATTTGTATTAATTATGCGATGCTTAATAAATTTCGAAACATAATAATATTCTTTTTATAGATGTCGATTATTCATAAAACGCAATACCAACAGGTAGTATTTACAATGTAGCTTCATTTACAAGATAAAAAATAGTCACTTCAAGTCGAATGTTATAAACAGTAAGCATTAGCTCTGTTGAGTAGACAGATCTCATTTTGCCTGAAATTATACTTTCGAAAAAATGAATTGAACTTAACAAGTATCTGTTACATTCAACTAATGTCTTGTATCTTTGTTATTCATCATGTTAGAGAACGGTCTGGTTAGAATTTGAATATCTTAATAAAAGTTTTAATGTTTTTATGATATGTTTACAATCTGGACCAATTCCTTTATGTGTAGTGAGATAAACTGCAATGCTGATAATGACAAGAATTTAAACCACCACATACTGCGATTGGCTTACCACCAAGATGTTCATACAAAACCAATAATTTCCAAAACAAGAATAATGTTTTAGTGGAATCCGTAATATCTTTAACCAGAAAGAGGGGTCGTAACATTGAATGAAGAGGTACATGGAGATAAGAATGGTAACATCTCTGTGATGATTTGATGCAGGCCAACATAACATGAAACTGACAATTGTTTGTTCAGGGAAAGAAAAAAAAAAAATAAGATAAATGAATACGTTTCAAATATATGCTCCATTATTATCAAAAGAGGGAAAGAAGTCGACGAAAAAATAACTTTTAAGAAAAAAATTATGAAAAGGTATGGAGTTTTCTTTGTTGGTTTTCTCTCTCCACACAACAAGAGCCACATAAAAACTGGGACTTGAATACCAATAAAGATAAGATGAATTGAAAGCATGATGATATATATTAACAATGACGAGAGTGGGTTTGGGATGAAACTCTTTTACGATATCGGCGTCTTTTCATGCAACAGCCGAATCAACAGACAGAGATTCAGTCCAATGTAGAGTAGATGGACATATGGCATGCATGGACATCAAAATCAAATAGGACACACTGTGCTTGTCTATCAATTGATGAAAAAGAAAAACATAACATATAAAAGATTATTGATTTTTTCATTAACTGTATAAACTTCATGTTATTGTTTTTATCCTGTTGGTTAGACTGATACACATATATATTTTTTGTGTTACATTTTATTAAAAGCGTTAAAATGCTTTATCAGAAATACCTGAACCAGATGTTGTAAGCATGTTGACATTTTTATACGTTCATTTATAAATCTTCATTTGGAAGGTTCTATACAAGCTGCATGAAAAAGCATCCACAACAGTATTAAAAAAAGGCCTTGTATCACTACTTCTAATGTTTGTTGTACTATCTTAAAGTGATTTTGCAAGCAAAGTTGAAACAAAATTGAAAATTAAAAAAAAAAAAAAAAAGGAGAAAAATGTCAATCAATCAATAAAGAAATAAATTACAAATTTTGAAATAGTGTTTTTAGTTTTTTGTTAAAAGCATTTAATATAATTAATTTATTCTTTGGTTAAATCCATTTGAAGAAAAATCATTGTCCATTAATTTTAAAAATTCTAAAACCTTTATTGTCAGATAATATTTCATTGCCTCTAGATAGTATCAATGTTATTTCAATATATTCATACAAAATTTTTTTTTTTTATGTTATAATAGCAATATTCAAGGTTTAGATAATGATCTTTAAATAATATTTTGAAATAAAATATTCCCTAAATTAACAAAATTACTACTTTGACAATGATACTGCAAACCAGGGTATGGAAGGAAGCTACCAACAACAACAAGGAGTGCGTGATGTATGTAAAAAAAAATCCACTATTCCCATATCATTGTTATAGACTTACTCTCCTTCGTTTCTTGTGGTCCTCCAGCTACAGTGGATAGACGGAGACAGATTTTATATCATTCTTAAAACCATAATTACGCAAATAAAACTCAAAATGGATGCACATGATATCAGAAAAAAGATTTAAAAAAGACTGTGTATGATATCATTCTAACAAATTGCATCATAAAGTTATAAAGACTTCAAACTACGGGAAACCATCTTCAATCTGAAACGTTAAATATTTCATGATAACAATGGTATAAAGATATATTATTTACTACAAGATTCATTACACACAAAATGAACATACAATGCATTAAACCGTAATACATTTTTCTGCATCAAAATACATTTCATTTACTTCAAAGTGTTAAATGTGAAATAGATACCAGATATATATAAAAAAAATCACCCAAGAGGTGAATCTGCCACGGTGATGAAATGACTCAGAACGGCGCTTATGTAAACTGAAAAGATTAGAGTTTGCAGGATTTTGTGTTGAAAGGGACATGGAACGGAGTTCAAGGAGTGTTTTTAGCTTTGTACTTCAAAATATTTACCTGTCCACATTGTATGTAGATGTGAGAGGGAGTTAGTTTTCAATGTCCCCCAACAAGAATGATAAAATTTAAGATTAGTTAAGAAAGTTACTATAGGCCTCAGATTTCCAGGGACATTTTCCAGAAAATGAAGTCACAATTTGAAACTTTCTTCAGCACACTGATAAATAATACAAAATTATTTTTCTTTAAATTGTACGGAAAATCATAAATTTGAAAAGTTGACTGAGAAAATTTTGCTATTCCTTAAGAAATATTATCATGTCATTAGCTAAATGACAAGCATCACTTTCAGTAATTTAATGATATTTCAGGTGGTGAAACAATACTATTGTAGACAACACCATACCATGGGTAATGAAATGTGTACTTCATATCAAGTAAGTTCAATCCAATCTCACAAAGCTCATTAGCTCAAGATAATTGATTTCTTATCTGTTTCGCTGAAGACAAAAAAGTCACACTTAATTTTAAAAGAATTGTGAACATTAATCATCAATCATCACTTATTCAGCACTTTTATAGTAAATTTTCCAATCCATGATACTTTACTTCACATATATTTATATTAACTACCTATGTATACATTTTATAACTTACCAATCCATATCGTGCTAACTTGTACATGATGTTTTTGTATTCCCATTTAGCTTGCAGTTCCATAGGTATATTTTTTAACAAATCCGAATACCTAAGTACAAAAAAAAAAAAAAAATTCAAATGAAGTATCAATGCTCCAAATATAACATACAATTTTCAACTGAATGTTCCTAGTCGCATTCACAAGCAAGAGTCTCAAAGGGCCTGTATCACTCATCTGGTTTAGTTTGCTGAAATTGATTCAATTAAGAATGTATGAGACTTTTGTTTGACCAGAAGAAGGGCATAATTCAGTATGAAATAATTCTGTTTTTAAAATTTCTACATGTAAATTTTAAGAATCTCTTAATGTAAAATTCTGTAGATTTTTTCTCCTGTGGAATATATTTTGTTACATAGCTGATGTCGTGATTCACTTTTCACTTTCAATGTTTTCCGTTGCTAGGGTACTAATATAAATATAAAATAGATATAATTTAATATAAGAAGTTTCAAGTGGAATTCACTATAAATTACTCATTTGAAATGTGTGAATGCAGACTTGGTGGATCGCTTTTCTTGAATTTTAGGACCCAAATATAAAAATTTCTGTCTGTTTCCAGATTTTTGAAAAAGGTGGCATTTAGGTGAAGATTACAAGAAATTAAGCACAACAACCACCTCTTTCTTTTATTATGAAAAATATTCACAAATAATTTCTACAAACCATAAAGTCTTGCAATTTTTCAAAATGTACATATTTCTGTTGCTATGGAGATTAACGTCTGTCACATCAAATTAAAATTAGTATTTAAAATTGTGTTCTGCTCATTATTTGCTAATTATCTTCATATCATTCTATCATATTTTGGTGAAAAAGGAATATTGCTGGATACAAAGTCTGCCTCAAAAGGGTAGAATTTTAGAGAATTTGCTCTATTTCCTCTATGGGGCCCTGCCACTTCCACGCCAGGAAGCCCAGACCCACTTTTTATACAAGACTAATTACGCTTCACCTAAAAAATGCTGTACACCAAATTTGGGCAAAATTCAAACATTCCTACAAAAGGAGTAGGTTTCAAAGGGTTTTCTTTTTTCTGACATTGGGCCCTGCCCCTCTTGCCAGAGGACAGGGACCTAGCATTTACACAAATCTGTCCCTCTTCCCCAAATGATGCCTCTGATCAAAATTTGTCAAAATCTGCTTGGTTGTTCATGACTAGTAGCAAATTGGAGGGAAAATTGAGGGACGGACAGACGAAGGACACCACAGTATGCCACAAACTAAACCATTATTAATCGTTATTGGGATACCTATTTTTCTAGTTAATGATAAATAACATTTATTACTATTAAGAAGAAGAATTTTGTTAAATATAGATGCCAACATTTGACCTACCAGTTTCCTTTGTTTTGATCTGCTTCATCTTTCTTTCTTTGGATCTGTTCCTTTGTTGGGCTGCCATACATGCAGGCAGCACTCCGTGCCCTCATCTGACGTACTGCTCTGTGGAAATGTTCCTGCTGGTTCGAGTTGATAGCTATGAACTTATTTTGGCATATTGACATCTTTTGCCTGAATAAGAAAACAGAACAATGTATATCCGAGTTGACAAAACAACATATCACAGTTTGCATAACTTAAATCATATAAGGCCTCAGCTAAATACCCTCATATAATTCTCTGTTTTAATTGAATTTTCAAAACAAAAACTAGTCAATATTGCCTAAAACAAGCTTGACATTGTGAACTGTGAAGTTTTAAGACAGGCATACTTATGTTATACTATTTGTAAATAAGTAAATCCTTTGGCAGTGTTATATCGCGCTGTTTTGTAAATATTATCTAAAGAATCAGTAAGTGTTCTAGCCAATGAAGTTAAATTTGTCTGAATGAACTAGTCTCTCTTGAATCGTATTTCTATTTCTTTAAAGTCTGAAGTTTGATGTGACCGTTATTTTAATCTTTAATAATTGTACTATTTAAGCTCTAAATAGCAAAATCATAAAATTAGCACATTTTAGTCTGTTCCGTCCATCAACTTAATATATTATAGGTAAGAACCTACTTACTTTATATTTCTAGTCTTTTTAAACAAAACAGAAAAAAAAAAAAAAAATCAAATTAAACAAGGTCTTATACAAGTTTGAGATAATGAGGTTCAATTGTATTTACCTGTCTACTGTGAACTTACCTGTCCATATTCTCCAGTGTGTCGTGTAAGGTAAGGGCTTTGTCCTCCTGAAGTTCTCGGAAAGTGTTGCTCCATTCACTGACTCGGTTTCCATATTTAATACTAGGACGGTTCGCATGGAACTGAAGCAACTGGGGTGAACTGTGTATCGTTGAACAAAAATATTGGTAGTGAGTCTCTCAGTTCTATTATAAATCATTAATGAGTTTTGTGATTTTAGTGTATGTAACAATCTAACAATTTAAACGTATTTCTACAATAGCTGTTTTATACATGAGGCATGAACTCATCCTTATATTTAATCAAGGATGTATGATGGTCAGATATATGAAGCTACAATTTCTGAAATTCAACTTTTTTTTCTGGTGATCATCATGAAAAGTTAAGTGACAGAAAGAAATTAAAAAAAATATGTTGCTGTCCTACAGGCGTTAAAAATATTCTTATTCCCTTGTTATGCTGTCCTTTATTATTCTTTCTTTTTTCAATGACAATAGCAAATTCCTTTTTTTATTCTTGTCATTAAAAAGCATTGAAATGATGCCACATAATAAGAAAAAATATTACGGTAATAACTGCATACTGACCAAAAAAAGCAAATTTTTAAAAATTGCTTAAATCCTTTATCTGACAAAGTTCTAAATTAAATTTTTATTTTTGGCAATAAGTACAACTATGCATTATAAAAGTATATGGAAACTCAAAAGTTCGAGATTTTACACTGGAATTCATTTTATATCAAACCTTAGTATCTCACACTCAGTGGGATCATGGGAGAACTTCGAGATAACCAAGTATTCAATTTAAGAGAGGTTGAATTTTTTGTGTATAGTTAGGCAGGGACCAATGAAATGCTTTGAATTTAACATAGTCTTCAAGTTATATGAGTTTGAGAGAATGAGGTTCGACTGAATGTTTTATCTTTGGCCAGACATGACTCTTATAATCCTTAAACAACTAGAAAAATGTGTTACTTGCATAAGCTTATACATACTGCAATATGGAAAAAAATATGTAGACAGGGTTCCCTTGACTACTGAGAACATCTTAAAATTTTTATTGGAAAGTCAGAAATAAGACAGTATTTCTACAAAAGGGTCACATTATTTAAGATGCTTTCTACAAATGTAGCCATCATCTGTCAGGTTAAATTAGTTTTAATTTTGGAAAGTAGTGAGCCAATTTATTTAATGAAGTTCTGGTAGTGAATCTAACTGGACACGGTAGTTGGACTGAAGTGCAAAAGAGAAATCAGCTGTTCAATCTAGATTAAGCTTTTGCAGCACTCACATGTAATTTAAATGTTTGGAAAGAAACCTTTTAATAAAAGTTTAAAGTAAAATGGCATGAATTCTACAGAACTGTACTGTATAATATCACAGTTTGGTATAGCATTATAACTGTACACACAGACCTACCTTTTTGGTCTCACATTCACCTCTGCACGATACGTCTGAGCAGACATTCTCTCTCTTGGCGTCTGGGAATTTCTAAAACTTTCTTTCTCTACACTCTTCTACAATAAGACAAAGCCACAATGTATACCATGGGTTGATAATATGTCTGGTGCTGGTATTACAGGAGTGATCAATATCTATTTTATTATATACTATTTACCAGGTACATGTATATGTCATTTGAACACTACATTAAATTTCAGTTTATTTCATATTGTATATAAATTTTTCATTACTTTTCCTTTAAATTATCATTACTTACTGAAAGCTCTGTAGATTTTAGTCTTGCAGATTTCCTACGTATTGTTGTTTCCATGTCAGACGATCTGCAAAGACAGAATTAAAGACATTTCATATTTTCCTTTCCACAAATTCGTTACAAAATTTAAATATTTTCTCCAACTGGTATTTCTGCGTAAAATGTACAATAAAGAAATAAGGATGTACCGGTATGTGACACCCAACATGGTCTATATACAGTAAATACTTTATACAAACAATGAATCATCGTTTATCAGCTGAGGTCAATTATATACTGTATGTTATTTAATATACCGTAATATTTTCACTCTAGGTTTTTTTTGTCCTAGTACCATGATACTCAAATTTGCAGAATATTCATTTCTCTCTCTGAAGATTATATTAAAGAGTTATGTAAATGTAATAAATGTTTGCCCTCATCGTAAATTCGCCCTCTCTGTTCATGACTGAACTGGGCAAAATTAAATGGGGGCAAATTTCCTGATATACAGCATTTGTTTTCCCCAAGATTATTATATCAAAAAGCAAAGGTTGATATTACAATCTAGAGGTTAATTAACATCCATGTTTTTGTTATCAAATAACAATTGGAATATTTACCGTAATTTAAATTAATATAATAATGTTAGTGTAACCTTGGTAAAATACTAGCCGCAATATACCACTCGGTTAGAGAGAATTTCTCTTTAGCTCAATTGGTTGAGTGTCAGGGGTCCTGGGTTCGATTCCTAGCGGAGGCATTGAGATAAATAATGACCTCTGTTAAATGCAATATGAAAACTCTGGTGTGGGTTTTACATAACAACACTGAATGTATTGTATTCTGAAAGGTTTAGAAATCCCTTTGGTAAACTGGAAGACTATGAGAGAGAAACAGAGAACTGTTTCTATAATGATCAGATTCACAACAAGCTTTAGCCCTCAGTTACACTGAGGTTTCTTTGATTTTCAGTATATTTATTGCCAGTATTGTGAAATCTACATAAGTTGGGAGTTGTATTGACATTCCATCAAATCTTACAAAGTTAAACAGCATGTCTGGTATCGTCTTTGAGAGAAATCTTAAAAGTCAAATAAAGAATAGAAAAAAAATTCTGTTATCTGGCAATAATGTCATTTTGGTACAATTTGAGTATGTTATTTTTCAGTTTATAAACTGTTACATTTGTAGATTATTTTTTGTATAATTTAAACAAAGATTTGGAAAAATTTTGATTGAATAAAGACTTGACCCTGTGATACAATGATTTAAATATCTAAATTTACTGGTAAGCAGTGTAAAGGTGATTCCTGATGATACGCAATACGATATAAATTGAAATGTCGTCCTTTTTGCCAAATTCAGTGTGAACAACTTCTATGTGATACAAACTTATTTGAGTCCTTCCGTCAACAATTATTTGTATAAAACCTACGCTTTCCTATGCTACCTACGCTATGCTTTCCAATTGGTGAACTTATAAGATTTAAAATGATATCAAATGTAAGCAAGAAATGTTTGTATATGTTCCTGCACTTCAAATAACAATTTCTGTGCTGTAAAATTATTAGGGACAGTTTCATTTACATTAAAATAACAGAGCACAGGTTTATGAAATATGATGGTCAAATCTAGGATGATATTTGGTTCATTGAGTCAATGTTGAAAACATCTGAAATGATGATTACAGCTGTAAGTCTATAGCGTTTTGTATACGACTGAAATTTAAGTTTCAATTTGATAGATGTTAATCTTTTTCCCTGACATCATGTACAATATGAATATATATAAAAAATCTGAAAAAGACTTATTTTATAAAATTGATTGTATGGGGAATTAGTCTAAACATACTTAGTACTTAAACTGTTAAGGCGTTTATAGATTAATAATTATCTAAATTTTGTCTTGCAATTATTTATTAGCACACACGATTAAGATGAATTTAATACCATCAGATTGTAAATAGATTTTGGAGTTAGGATGGTTCAGTGAATTATTTGTTTGATCTAAATTGAAGTAGCATAAAAAAAAATCATTTTTTTAAAATTGAAATTTGTATTGTTTAATAGTAAATTTGACCTACATATTAAAAATACTGCAGTAGTACTTAAACTGTTAAGGCAGTTTATAGATTAATAATTATCCAAATTTTGTTTTGCAATTATTTATTAGCACACACGATTAAGATGAATTCAATACCATCAGATTGTAAATAGATTTTGGAGTTCAGTAAATTATTTGTTTGATCTAAATATTGCAGTAAATACAATAAAAATGTAGAACTGATCAATGTCATATTTTTGACCTACATATTGAAATTTGAATTGTTTAACACAGTAAATTTGACCTACATATTGAAAATAGAATTGTTCAACATAATATGTTTTAACCTACATATTGGAGTCAGAATTGTTCAATGCAGTATGTTTGGCCTACATATTGAAAATAGAATTGTTCAACATAATATGTTTTAACCTACATATTGGAATCAGATTTGTTCAATGCAGTATGTTTGACCTACATATTGGAATCAGATTTGTTCAATGCAGTATGTTTGACCTACATATTGGAATCAGATTTGTTCAATGCAGTATGTTTGACCTACATATTGAAATCAGAATTGTTCAATGCAGTATGTTTGACCTACATATTGAAATCAGAATTGTTCAATGCAGTATGTTTGACCTAAATATTGAAAATAGAATTGTTCAACATAGTGTGTTTAACTTAAATATTGGAATTAGAACTGTTTACAGCAGTATGTTTGATATACTGGAGTTAGACGGTTTAACGTTTGAGTAATATTTTGGAGTTTGAACTGTATAACTTACATATTGTCACCCTTACTCAGTAGTTGTATTAATGTTTGTATTTATCAATGCTGGAAACATAGAAAAGTGAAAGTCATTTAAATAAAGGTATAGAAAAATATCCTTTCCAATATTCAAAATTGAATTAATTGAATTGGGTCAGTAAACAGGTAGAATATGTGTTTTTGATAGTTTGATTTTGTCATCAAAATACACATTATGTACTAAGATTATCAGAGAACAATTAGCTATGAAATGACTTTAAAACAGAGAAAAAAAACCAAGGAAAACGAAAATGAAATCCTAAACACAAGAACAATTTTTTTTTAAAAAGAACAACAAAAGTCACTTTACCGTTTTTCTTTCTTGCGTTGTCCAGAATTTGCGTTTTGTATGTCGTCCACACGTCCCTGATAACCATCAGTCTCATCTTCCTTATGTCCTGTGTTAGCATTGTGGTTCTCTCCAAACCTAAATAGGCCTGAAACAGCACAGTTTTGATTGGTCATCATTGTAGCAACAAAAAATTCTAAAAAAAGATTTCACTTCAAATAACTTTAACAACTTGCATGAATACATCTATCTTAAATAAATACAAATATTTTGTTTATTGATACACATATCATAAATCTTATTTTTTAACCATGTAAGAAATTGATGTATACTAGTAGATAAATAAACAAATATGAGTTATGAAAAAAATACACTGAGACATTTGAGTATATTTTTGATTATCTTACTTTTATGGGGGTGGTCATCGTCTTCCTCAAAGTCTGCACGTGAAGTCGGGACAGAGGACTCATCGTGGTTGGGATCTTGTGAGGCACCTAGTCGGAGAGATCCCATGGCTGTAGTTGGAGTTGTCAGTCCAGCAGGATGGGACAAAACAGAGTTTTTAGATGTCAGCCAACCTCGCTTGGTCCCCATTCTTCCGGGAGCATTGCGTCGCTGACTTTTACTTATCTGTTAATTAAAGAGTAAGCATTTTTTTGTGAATGTGATTTAAATGTTTCTGTTTAATTAGTTACATATCAATAAAAATTAATATCAATAGAACAATTTAAGAGATACTTATAAATGTAAGAACAGTTCTACATTATGGATTTTCCGGGATATTTCTATTTTCTTTCATTCATGGCTTGAGAGGGACATTCTGGTGAACAATCAACATTAAGCTTTTATTCATATGGCAAAGAAGATGACTCAAATCACATTTGGAACAGACTTAAAGCACACGCATACTCACAATGAACCTGGCACAAAAATGTAATATTACACCATACGTTGTGAAATCTATATGGTTTTATTATTAAGTAGATAAACCTTGCTGTAAGATAAAGGCAGTTCCTTTTCACATGCTTAAAGAGCACTGAATTTTGCAAATGACTTTGTGGATTCCATATTACACCAAAAAGAACAATACTAAAAATCCATTTCATAATTTCTTCGATAAGACACCTGAAATAGGGAAAAAACTTTCTAGTAGTAAGTGTTATGAAACATATGATAAGAAAATCTTCAGTACTTACCTCATCAACGTTCTAATATGTCTATACTGTAATTGTCATGTCAAACTACTCTCAAAGTTAACAAGTTTATTTTAAAAACTTTGCAATAAACTATTATATATGTTTTACCAGAATATCGTGATTGGCTGTGATTGACTGCAAAACAACCATTAATCAAACGACATCACATATTTTGACATGTGAAAATAGTAGATATACACAAGAACGACTGGTTAGAACGTGTGCTCCAAACAAGTGACACAAAAAAATCTTTCATAATCATTCCTGTCCTTATTATATAGGTTCAAATCATAAAATTGCTTTATTCTCCTTTCTACTGTTTAATGGGTCTCTGTGTAAATCAATCTCTCATTCATATTTTGCCCTAGTTTTATTGAATTTGAGTTTAATTATATTGAAATGTTGGTATTTTCCCTTTTTTTTTTTAAGTTTTGGAAATAGATAGCCATATCTATATTTCCACATTCAATGAAATTAGTCCCAATGCAATCTTCCATAAGCTTAGCATACAACACTCCACTAACTTAATAATTTCCCAAAATATCTAACCACTGATGTCCTCTTGTAGGTGAACACCACCAAAAAGTCAGATAGAAAAAGACAGAACAGACAGCAGTCTTTTTTATTTCTTTTCAATGGCACAGAGCCTCTTACAATCAAAGGAGTGGAAAGCTGCTGGGAAATTCAGCATAAAAATGTATAAAAAGACATAAGTAAATATATTCATGTAAAGTACATGAAGACATGTGTAAAGTACTTGAAGACATGTGTGAAGTACTTGAAGACATGTGTAAAGTACTTGAAGACATGTGTAAAGTACTTGAAGACATAAAGTACTTGAAGACATGTGTAAAGTACTTGAAGACGTGTAAAGTACTTGAAGACATGTAAAGTACTTGAAGACGTATCAAGTACATGAAGACATGTAAAGTACTTGAAGACATGTTAAGTACTTGAAGACATGTAAAGTACTTGAAGACGTATCAAGAATATGAAGACATGTAAAGTACATGAAGACATGCAAAGTACTTGAAGACATGTAAAGTACTTGAAGACATGTTAAGTACTTGAAGACATGTAAAGTACTTGAAGATGTATCAAGTACATGAAGACATGTAAAGTACATGAAGACATGCAAAGTACTTGAAGACATGTAAAGTACTTGAAGACATGTTAAGTACTTGAAGACATGCGAAGTACTTGAAGACATGTAAAGGCCTTTTTGTATCTTGGGAAAGAACATTCAAAGTACAAGAAGATATCTGTAGGACTTATATTGTACTTTTAAGGGAAAGAACATCCATGCAAAGTATAAGTTTAAGAAGACATGTATGAGACTTAAGTAAGGTTAAGTAAGAACTATCATGTTCTGAAAAGTAGACTTTTGCTCACATTTCCTTTACTACTACATATAAACTCCATGGTAACAAACAATAATGATAACATGACACACAACCAGATGAACAATCACACAATATCTAAATAAATCTAACGGGTCGATACATTACTAGTATTACTCAATACTGAAACAGTTGATATAAAACAGAATTATTTTGACGTTTGGATATTATCAACCTACTGAGCTTATAAAATAAAGTTCACATGACATAGACTATCATGTAGTCAAATGTCAAAAGATGAAGTACTTTTTTAACATCATGCACATGCATTTAAGTTTTGACAAACTGTAAAGCACCACCAAAAAACCTATATAAAAGACACTGTATGATGAATTACATTCATGTAACCTTCTTTAATATTATCCATTTACAAAGGATCATTACATATTTAGAATTAAGAATGTTTCCTTGGTATCAGATTCATTTTACTAATGACCACTGCAGAATGTTTGACCACTGATAAACACCAGTACTAACACTTAAGTGTGTAGAGTTTGATAATAATATCAGACAACACTAGTAACATTGGAGAGTCCTGAATTTGACCAGTGACACGGGACACTGCAGTGTTCAGAATTTTTACCACTGTCACGAGACACCACTACTTACACTGGAGTGTTCGGAATTTTTACCACTGTCACGAGACACCACTACTTACACTGGAGTGTTCGGAGACACTACACGCTGACCAGCTAAGTTCCGGCTAGTAATATTCCAGTTTCAGATACACCCAAAGCAGATTTTTGTTTTTGATTGAGAAACAATGCACTCTAATACAATACAATATCAATTAATTCCTGAAAACTTGACTACAGTGTAATACTTCATGCAGTAGATAAATATTATGTATTCTAACTTTGATTACTATATACGTGTATTGAGGCACTGAAAAGGATAACTTGAATAACTGAACAAGTGCCATTCTGTCTGAGGCAGACATTCATTATCTGATCAAGTTTATAATTCAGAGTCATGGCTGTCTAGCTTTTTAAAATCATAACAGTGCTTTACATCCTTGTGTTCTGCTGACCAAACTTTGGGTAGTTCTGGACAGGTGCAAATCTGACAGGTGAGATATACAATCATACCATGATATTTACGATTACTCACAAACAATAAAGAGGACATTAATCCCATCTGTAAAGTAAGCAAAATAAGGAAGCATGATACACACATGTATAGCATTTAACTGAATCAGATAAATGTATGGTAACAGTGTTATGTAGGAACGATGTAACAACAGTGTTAGCCAGTTTTGAGATAAATAAACAAACAAACAATGTATAAGCGATGCAAAAAGTGATGCAATGCCATTGCAGTGTTCAATAATAAAAACAAAATGATAAACTGGGGTGGGAAATGGGGTGGGAAATGGGGGGATTTCAAAACTTTAATCATGTGGTTTGAAATTATGATTTATATATATCAGCCCAAATGAAAATATTTGTTTTAGTATAAAACATATATATATATATATACATTTGTATATGTATGCAAAACATTTACATGCAATTTAAACAAATGGAAATGCTTTAATAATTCTTATCAAAACGTCTCTGAAAACACAGAACTCATGCAAAATATTTTGTTTCTGAAGTAAAATAATAATAAAAAAAAACCGTGAAAGATAACACACTTTATAAATGTAAAATATCAACTTCAACAATTACAGTAAAATCTAACCTAACATCTCAACAATGGTTTGATCATATATTTACTGTCACAGTTAACAGTATAGGGTTCCTTAATTACAAGTTTGCTACAACCTTTTAGCTATTTAATTCATTGTTAAAGTATGAGAGAATTTGTAAGATAGATTTAGTTTTAAAATCAATTTTTTTTCCAATAGAATTCCACTAGTGCATGTTTTTAAAATCGCTTATAGCGTTGATTAGCTTTTTTTTAACTAGAGGTACTTATTTCTTTTCGCGAAGTATTCACCCTTACAGCCTACACTAAAATGATAGCCCTAAATAAAGACACTTTCCCTTCTACATTATCACATGTTGAAATGGTTGCTAGAATTTGCTGTCATGATATAAAAGATGAAGTTTTTAGAACAACAATTAAACAAACATTTTTATTTTCAGAATTTTCAAGTCCAAGCCTTCTAAATCTTTCTACAGCACTGAACATTTGGAGTTGTACCATCTGGCGCCCCCAAATTCCACGTCTTCTCCTTATCTGTAAAATTGGTTTCAAAATGCTTGATCTATTCAATATAAGCCTTAAATATGCTATACAGTGCTGGTAAAACCTAAAACAAATTGCACAGAAGTATTTTTAATTGTGTTATCACTTTGGTACAACATCTTGGAATCTGAGATTTTTTTTTCTTTTTTGTTGGAATATACATTGTATACAAATGTATATATGTTTTGCATGTCTGTGATCTAGCATTGGAACTGTTTTGTAAATAGAAATCTTATAATGGGTTATAAAAATAAAAAAAAATGCTTTTTCATGATTAAAGCAGTAATACTTTTAATCAACAATAACATTCAGCAATCACCATAACTGGGATTAACAAGAATCTACCAAACATCTTCTTTAGAGGAGGGTTAATGAATTTGAGTATATTTCTAATAGTACTTTACTAAAAGTTTATCATCAGCTAAAAGTTCAACCATGTTATAATGAAGGAGATTATGATGGAGATTGATTCTGAAAAAAATAAAGCTTTAGCAAGTATTAAGCCATGCAAACCTCTAGCATTAGTGATACAGGTTACGCTACCTGCTGTATATTTCTAATTTGTGTTATAGGTTCAGCAGCACAAAGGGAGATAATCATATTTCTGTAAGTGCTAAAATCTTACCTTTGCACCAGGGTTTGTTAAAAAGTCTTTCCATCTACCATCAAATTCTTTCTCCCTTGATTTTTGTTCTTGGCTTCTTAACCCACCGATATCACTGCAACAAACAATAGACTGACATGTAAATCATTCTTACTATTGTACAGAGAAGATCAAGAATTATTCCATGATTTTCTTCTGTAAGTTAAACTTATACTAGGTTGTGTTGATATTCATTGCCTTGAAACAATCTGAGTTTCCAGGTAAACATGATGGGAGGGAGGTTGTATATATTCACTTGAGTTTCCAACTAGACATAATGGGAGGGAGGTTGTGTATACTCACTTTAGTTTACAGCTAGTCACAATGTGAGGGAGGTTGTGTATACTCACTTGAGTTTACAGCTAGACATAATGGGAGGGAGGTTGTGTATACTCACTTGAGTTTCCAACTAGACATAATGGGAGGGAGGTTGTGTATACTCACTTGAGTTTACAGCCAGACATAATGGGAGGGAGGTTGTGTATACTCACTTGAGTTTACAGCTAGACATAATGGGAAGGAGGTTGTGTATACTCACTTGAGTTTCAACTTAGACACAATGGGAGGGAGGTTGTGTATACTCACTTGAGTATCAACTTAGACATAATGGGAGGGAGGTTGTGTATACTCACTTGAGTTTCAACTTAGACATAATGGGAGAGAGGTTGTGTATACTCACTTGAGCTTACAGCTAGACATGATGGGAGGGAGGTTGTGTATACTCACTTGAGTTTCAACTTAGACACAACGGGAGGGAGGTTGTGTATACTCACTTGAGTATCAACCTAGACATAATGGGAGGGAGGTTGTGTATTCTCATTTGAGTATTAACCTAGACATAATGGGAGGGAGGTTGTGTATACTCACTTGAGTTTACAGCTAGACATAATGGGAGGGAGGTTGTGTATACTCACTTGAGTTTCAACCTAGACATAATGGGAGGGAGGTTGTGTATACTCACTTGAGTATCAACCTAGACATAATGGGAGGGAGGTTGTGTATACTCACTTGAGTTTCCAGCTGGACATAATTGGAGGCAGATTTTGTGGAGAATCTTGCTTCATTGCGTCCAGGATCCAGTTTAAAGTGCATAGTTGTCTGAACAGCGAATCCCTGAAAGTATAAGTAACCATACATTGATATGTAAATCTAACATTTACTCCTGTTGTTACATCTCCAAATATGAGGATTTACAGATGAATCATATGTATATGGACAGTTTATTTGTCATAAATATAACTTTTATTGTAACTACATCTTTGTTTTTATGTTTTTTCTGGATATTCCTAAGTTTGTTTTATTCAATAGGCCAAGTCTTTCAGGTTATACTAAAGGTTTATGCAGAAGGATGTGTTAATAGGTTGAATAAAAGACTGAATAACAACCTTTACAGTAGAGTAAAAGACTGAGTAACAACCTTTACAGTAAGAGGGTGAATAAAAGATTGAATAACAACCTTGATAGTAGGGTGAATAAAAGACTGAATAACAACCTTGATAGTAGGGTGAATAAAAGACTTAATAACAACCTTTACAGTAATAGGGTAAACAAAAGACTGAATAACAACCTTTACAGTAATAGGGTGAATAAAAGACTGAGTAACAACATTTACTGTAATAGGGTGAATAAAAGACTGAATAACAATCTTTACAGTAATAGGGTGAATAAAAGACTGAATAACAACCTTTACAGTAATAGGGTGAATAAAAGACTGAATAACAACCTTTACAGTAATAGGGTGAACAAAAGATTAAATAACAACCTTTATAGAAATAGGGTGAATAAAAGACTGAATAACAACCTTAACAGTAATAGGGTGAATAAAAGACTGAATAACAACCTTTACAGTAGGGTGAATAAAAGACCAAATTCCTTCCAAAATATTTTTTAATCTAAAACGTTTTTGCAGATAACTTTTAAAAATTCATTTGATGCAAAAAAAGTTGACACAATGAAGAGATCGCTGTGTTGTGCGTACATACTTAGAAACCTGATCTCGTGCCTCACTGATGTTGGTGTGATGGGGTGTGTAAGGACGAGGCATTTTTACTTTCTTCTTCCTTGTGCTCTCAGGCCTTGATGTGGTCATGATGGACTTACTGGTGGGGATTTCTGACTCTTCATCATCCTGTGTAATCCTACAACAATTGTAAGTGAAAAGTTCAAAATTCTATGTCAGAGACATTACAATACAGAACAAATGTATTGTAAAACAATTTCATTTCTTCTCAATAGGGAATATAACATGATTAAAACAATGAGAGGCCAACCTAAGGTCAAAAAGGTCAAAAGGTCAAAAGACGATACCTATAACTTAGTAAGTACAACCTCAAAAATTTTAAAAAGTTGTACATTCAGTGGATGCATGACTTTTGTAATCAATTTTTTCTGTGGAGCAGAGTGCGGCATATTGTCTAAGCACCGTGATATTTTGTCATTTACAGTAGGTTAATTTGGACCTGGCTATAGAAACTGGTCCCTGTTATGTACCTAGGTATGTATCCCTCAAAGTTATTAAATAAACAGATTACTAAATTCCTGATACTTTAACTTATTACCTCAAATTTTATCAATGACAGGCTATAGTCTATAATGCTATAATGATCAGGAAAAAATTTCAGACTGAAGGAAAGTCTAACTTTTTAAAGTTTTCTGACACTGTACTATCAATATGTATTTATTATATTTTCTGCTAAGGATACTTTAAATCGTCTCACATCCAGGAAAGATATAATGTGTTTTCATTAAAATAGAGGCAGTAATAGATATTACACATCACACAACTTACCCTAAAATAACACCGATACATTATTTAAGACTAAACATTCGTACCACACAGATGACTTTCTTGTTTTTTAGGTAGATTTTATATTTCTTCATGTTTACAACTATAATGACAGAAATTAAAAATAAAATACATCGTTCAAAATAACAAGGAAACAATGATCAAGGTTAATTTTTATATTGTTAGTATGCCGAGTGACTAGTACAAACCGTGATAACAACTGAACGAGCCCTTTTTCTTGTTCTGCAGTCTCTTCATCAGAAATGTTACCTCTCCCAAAATCGTCGTCATCATCACTGTCTTGCCTTCTGAACTCGGCCATATATCTTTAGAGAAATATATTTACACACGAAACATGTTAGCATTAACTACATGTACGCTATAATTAGCACCTGTTGTTTAATAGTGAGGAACTTTTCAATGACTGATCAAAACTTTGATAAAATTAGAGTCTAGAAAACAACATTAGTCCTTAAATTCTTTTTCAATAGGACAGCATTGTGGGAGTTCAATTAATTTTTTTTGCCAAAGAAATTCCTTCATTTTAGAATAATATTTTACATGTATGTAATTCTTAACAAGTATCCCCTAAAAAAAAATCAACTAAATTCAAAAGATGTGTATCTGAATTCTTTAAAAAAAAGATTTAAATAAACATACAAAAGTTCCTTTAATTAAAAAATGAATTTATCAGGGAAAAAAAATGATAGAAAATGAAAAAAAAACTTATAGTTTTATTGAAATTTATTTCAGTGATCTGTCATTGAATTATTGAAGTTCCACATGTGGAGTGATGTATAGTTACACACACAAGGTTCAAACATGAACAACAATACATACAGCACTGAACACCATGCAGTTAAACTGATACTAATCAATAACTAGCAGTTCATAAACCATATTATAGTTTTACTTTCTCCGAATGTTTTACCTGTAGGGGTGGGCTTATCAATGAACAGTAAATACTGATACCCATTTATACTAGACTACACGTTGAAATCTGTGTCAATGTTTAGATGTTTAACTTTGATCAAAATGATCATCACTGATATTGATTTCATCAGCAATAATATATATATCTGTATCATCTGAATCTGTGTAACCCTGGAAAAACTAGCCACAATATACAACTCGGCTAGAGAGAACTTCTCTTTAGCTCGATCGGTTGAGCATCAGAGAAGTAAAATTCACAAGGGGGATCAAAATACTATGGGGGGGGGGTCCTTTTCTTATGGGGAAAAAGCAATTCTCAGGTCCTTTTCTGATGAGGGAAAAGTGATCCGGATCCTTTTCTGATGGGGGATACAAATATGATATGACACCGGAGGTCCTGAGTTCAAATCCTAATGGAGGCATTGACATAAATAGCCTCTGTTACATAATCCAGTTTTCTTTACTCAAAAGATGCAGTTTTTAAATTTAGAAATGAATCCTTATTTTCTACATGTAATTTAATATCTTTTGTAATGATTAAAAGAGTAGTTATTCCTCGATCAGAAACAAAAAAAATGTTTCTGAATTAATAAAATTTTTAAGTTAGGATGTATTTATATATATTTCTATACTGTAGTAACTGTTAAAATGTGTCTAATTTAATTATTTAAGTAGTTGCAAACTTTTTCATTTAATTCTGCAACATTTTCTTTAAACTGAAATTAAACTAGACTTCAAATAGTTAAATTTACATTAACACAAAGAGGTATTTATATAGGAAATCAATAGCTAAGACACTGTATACACAACAAATATTACTAGTCTCCATTTTCTCACTAACCTAACTACAATCAATAATAGGGTCATGTTCCAATACACAGTAGATGTCAGTCAAGTGAAGGTTCACAGATACAATAAGCCTGGGGCAAACATTTAAACTTTAGTTATAATCCAATAACATACAGGAACAATAAGTAGCAGAACTCCAGTCTACATGTATGCAATGTACCGTCTAAAATCCAATAATAATGGATTACTGCTTGTGTTCAAGTACTCAAAATTGATTGAAACAATCTCACATTTTCTTGACAGATACAGTGAGGTCATTTGAAAGTGAAAATTTTCATATCAAAGTTTTGATTTTTTTTTTGTTATATATCTTTAAGCCTTTGTGGCATATCCATCCAACGTTTCTTTAGATCGGGAAATTAAAAAAAAAAATTTTGTAAAAAAAGTCTTAATTTTTATAATGACAATGACTCAATGCTATCAAAGTTGTAGTCCTTGAAAGCACTCTTTCCCATAATCTAAACTTTTTCAGTTACTGGTGATTAAAAAAAAAAAAACCCAAAAATTCCATTAAAATTTCTGCTGATTTTAAGAATCTTAAATGAATATTAAATGAAAGATTTTTCTCCAAAAAAAGATATTTACTAAATAAAAACAAACACATCACATGAAATTATCCTAAATTTGAGATATAAATGTTATAGTACTGATATTGTGTTATGTTACTACATGCTGTGAGAGTGGGACAATAATTACTGTGCACAACATAAGGTCATCCCAATGTGTGGTAAAGGCTGTCAGTATATTACAAGGTAATAACATTCTGTGATACGATAAAGAGACAAAACTACATGACACACCAGACAAACATTTAGCTTTCCTAAATGATTAATATTCTCTTTTAAGATTTTACAAAAAAAATTAAGATGCTAAATCTAGAATAACAACGTTCTGAACTAACAAGTTATTATGGTAAATCCTAGATCTACTTTTTTCTATACCACTGAACACAACACAACACCATGGTTACCTGCTGAGGTCCTCTTCAGCAAGAAGGCCTTCATCAGAGCTTTCCTCATCACTAGATGTGTCTGTTTTCGGAGGCTGCCACTCATTTCTCATGGCTTCAGCTTTTCTTTTGTTTTGTTTTTCTTCTTCTTCTTGCTGTTTAAAATTTCATCATCATGAATACAAATTATGTCACAACTTCATATGTACAATGGGTAGACTGTTGGTTTTAAACATTAGGACATCACTAACCAATATTAAAAAAAAAAAAAATCATACATTTTTTTTCAGTTATTCCTTTTTTCCATTATGCTGTAAGAAATGGGTTAATATGATCTCATTTTTTAAAGAAATTTATTTGATCAAAATCATAAACTGACAGTGATTGTTTTGAACTGTACTAAAAGATGATAATCATAATGCAGTTATTAGCTTTGAAACTTGTTATCTTATGATTATCATCGACCAAAAGTTCACAGAAAAATAGATTAAAACTTACCTTTGCTTCTCGTTCTTTCTTTATCAAGTCAAACAGGCCATGTCCAAGTCTTACGTTACGAATCAGATTCCTGTTACAAAGTTCATCATCATCATCATCATCATCATCATCATCATCATCATCATCATCATCATCATCATCATCATCATCATCATCATCATATCATCATCATCATCATCATCATCATCATCATCATCATCTGTTATTTAATTTCATTTTCAGGTGTTATGTAATGAAGTTGGAATATTATTCACAAGCAACAACAAAGAAAGCATAATTATATAAATTTTATATAATAAAGGAAGAAATTTAGTTGTACAATGTTTGTGTGTCAGTCCATGACCTCGGTAAGTTAACACCATTGCTATACCTGCTGTGAGATACTTCTTGTTTCAGTGTGTTTAGATCCTTCCTGGATCTACGCAGAACAAACTTGGCAGCTGAGACCTTCAACAACAAAATGGATTTTAAATTGTAGCAGGCCGATAAAAAAAACCCAAGAAAATACCTTCACGTCAAATAATCATGATTAAAACTCAAATTTAATAAAATTAGGACAAAATCTGAAAAGGAGATTGATTTACACGGAGACCCATGAAAATTACAAGGAGAATAAGACCAAATGTTTCTGTTGCTTCATCAATGACTGTGATCTGCCATGTAAACCTTGGTCGATCATGTCAACAATTGTTGTGTATGTGATGACAATCTTTTATTTATTGTAGACTGATTCTCAAACTTGAATTATAACAATTGCAGTTATTATCACTTCATATAGTTTCCTCTGTAGTTCTGTATTTTCCTTTGTCTAACAAGTTCCCTCTTATCCAATACCTTTGATTGACTTTTAACCCTTGACCTTAGCTGAGGAAGTATAATACAGAGTATATAGAGTCAGTGATATATGCACGTCACCAGATTACTGAAGTTCATTTGTAAGACGAGATTTGTAAGACGAGAGACGGCAAACCTGTAAACCAACCATTCAGTCAGTGATATTCAGCATTCACAATATCACTGTGCTCTGAAATTAGTATCGTCACAGTTTAAAAGCAATCACAAATTATCATGTGTATTGTATTTCATGTAAACTGTCTCACCCCTTTTCCTTTCTGGTTCGCAGCATCTGTTGCAGGTTCTCCATCCTCTTCATCAGAACTACTGCTTGTCTCCATGTCTTTAGACTGAAATAAAAAAAAGACTGATTGAAAATAGAATTCTAAAGAAATATGCATTGTTTTGGCCTTTTTAGGGCTCCCACATCCATAAAATCTTAAAACCTATAATCTTTATAAACTTTAAAATCACTCCATGTATTTCTAATTGAGAATACTTCCCTGATATCATGTTAATGACATCTATCTTCGGTAAAGTCTGTCAAAGTTTTATATAGTTTTTCTCTTAAAAAATTATTAAATAACTGATTCGCAAACAAACAAAGTGAGAATGTGTATAGACTCTAACCTACTACATCTTTAGGAGAAATATAATGTCTGGTTACCATTAAATGCTCTAAGGCTGTGAGTGAAAAACAAAAGTATTCATATTTGCCAAATCTATAGGTTTACTAGGTTAACAATATAATAGCAGAAAGAATCATGACATGTAGTATGGTCTCATGGAAATATTCTTCATCTAAAACCAGGAACTCTGAGAGTCTGATTGTTTTGGAAATTGGATGCATTTGGGGGCCATAGTCAGTCCTTTTTTTCACAAGAGCTGACTTTGACTTTTTTCCTAGAGATAATATTGAAAGTAATTTCAATAATAAGTCATTTGACTAACTTTTGGATGGGATGATAACAAGACCTCCATTATTATTAATTTTTTTGTATGGAAACTAAATTCCTTTTCTGTAGTACTGCAAATTTAAATACCATGATATTTGACTTTCAAACTTGATCAGCAATACCAAACAGATGCTTTCTGAAAGGGAGCATCATTGTAAGAACCATGATGGGAGATTCAGTAAGGTTATGACAAGAAAAACGTTGTCTATAACAACAGCAGTGACCTTGACATCAGACCTTCATAATTAAAAAAGCAATCTGATTGAAACATATTTTGTATAAAGCATATATAATAATGAGAACTGAAGTTGGAATAGGGCTGTTGAGGGAACTTATACCACACAAAATACTAAATTTTCTATCGCAATGATATTGACCTTTGACCTTCCGAACTTTCAGTAAGAAAGCATCTAAAGGATATGAAGTTACCAGCACATTGTAAGGATAATCAATGAAGGACAAAACTTTGATCTCAGCTATGTTCTTTCTTTTCAGAGGTGACACAGAAAACCTACATGTTTCTATCGAACCTTAAGTACCCCATTGTTTAGCTATGACCGTGACATAGGTTACAGAGTTGATAAATTGATCAATGATTTATCAAGATTAAATTGGCAACTAATTTGTGTCTGAAGTCTGATAGATGGATAAATCTATCAAAATAAATCTCAACAAAGGACAGTTTTTATCTTGAGTGTGAAGGTATGAGTACACTTAACAAATACTAATATGTTTATTTTCCATCCAATTACATCTGTTTCTGGTGTAGATTGGCTATGTGCCTGCATACAGCTGGCTTTAAATATACTTTAGAAAGTTCACAATCAAGTTGGTATGTTGTATGTCACAAAGTGTCAAAGATTGTTCACAGTGAGCACCTCTCCTGGGGGCTACAGTCTTCATTGCCAAAATTTCTAAATTTCCATACCAATGTGATAAGCAAAGTTCTTGTGAAATTGAGTTTATTTTTGTAAATTGAATTCAATAGCTCATGTCACTTACTAATTCAGCCACAGAATATGAAAGTATTTAAAATAAAAATTATTATGCAATATCTGAAATCTGATCTCCATGAGGAAAACAAGTCATTTCAAATTCTAAAAATATAATTAAAAGATCATTGATATGTCATAGAAAGCTTCAATATTATATGTACATATAAAAAGCTAAAAATCGTGATTTAGTAAAATAGATATACATTATAAGCTTATCAAATACCTTTAATAAAAATCTTTACAAAATTTTGATCTAGTTACAAGTCAATAGTAATACGACAAAAATTTTGTTTCACGATGGAGTATAAAACTGGTTTCATTTTAGGTATGATTTACTAGTAATTGTATTTAATTTGAACAAATGTTTACACCTAACCGTTATTCAGAATTTTATCAGATATAATGTATTTTTCAAACTTGTCCATGGCTCTAATTTTCAGTTCAGTACAGAGATATGTCTGAATGAGCTATCTGATATCACTGAAACATGGTCATCAAGGAATTGTACTAAAGACACACAAGGGAACAGCTCGTTTCTATATAGAATTTTTAATCAGATACATTCAGCTGTTTTCATCACTTTGTGGATTTAGTTGTCAGTGATGTTAAGGGCCAAGTATTGTAACCTGTATAGGAGAGAGATGCTTGAGGAAAATCAAAATTTGTCAAAAAAAAAAAATGTCAAATTCTAGAATGGAAGGTGCACAAACCAATATTTGACAAAATTTTATAATATTCAAATATTAGATGGCTTCAACAGACTCATATACAGTTTGCAGTTCAAACTTTCTGTAAATCGATGGCTAGATTTTAATCAAAGTACTGAAAACGCTGATAGGAAATTGTTAATCATCAGCTTATATATAATAGGGCAGCTTATATAGATTTTCTTGAAGTTTAAAGCACCTCAAATTTTGATCATCATGATCAACATCATATCATATACATTACCGGATTTGGTAGGATACTTTCATGGAAGAAAAAATTGTACATCTATATTTTTGGTTATGCACTTGGTAGAAGCACAACCTGTTATTTTTCCCATAGGAATCTATAACTTAGACACCATCCAGGAAGCGCTTCTGTGTCACTGTATTGCGTGCTTCTTTGTCTACAATGAGTCCATGAGGACATCACAAAGTACATGTGTAGCAGAGGTCATTATTTATTTCAATGCCTCCGCTAGGAATCGAACCCGAGACCACTGGCTTACTAGTCTGACGCGCAACCAATCAAGCTAAAGAGAAGTTCTCTCTAGCTGAGTGGTATATTGCGGCTAGTATTTTACCAGGGTTACACATGTACATCAGAATTCTAATACATCACAGACAGGACAAGAAATCTTTGCCATATCTATACACAACAATTTAGACAGATTAAACCAATCTATGACATGACCTTATTCTGTGAAATGTCTTCATCTTTTTTGATTTTGTATCAATTATTTCCTAGAAATAAACAAGATTTCACAATATATTGTTTATTTCTTAAATGATCTATTATGATCAGTCCTCTGCTGAAGGCTTCTCAAAAAATTAAATATGATCTAAAACCTTAAAGACGAAGGCATGTAAAAAATTGTAATTTTTTAATTTTCTTTATTTGATTCTTTTTTCATTTCTTTTCAACATTTGTTTGTCTTTCTAGTGATAATTTTTCAAAGTTAAATACCATTAATTGAAAAATAAGTATGAAGTATATAATAAAGGAAGGCGCCACATCCTGTCAAAATTGATGACTAGTTTAATTATTATTGTACAAAAATTGCACTGTAATCTATTATTAAACCTCGCCCCCACCAGAAATCATATCTATCTCTGATTTACATCACTAATTATCAGAAAGAGAAATTTTATATGATGAGCAATGAAGTGAACTTGATAACAATCCTTGTCATAAGTGCTGGATGCTTATTTACCATGTGACTATATGAAAAAAGTCAGTGCCTAATTATATCTGTGGGATATGTAGTACAGCGATACTAACTTAATACTCAGTCCTTTTGTACCCTAATGACATTGTCATGTTATCAATACAAATATGGCTTTGTAAAATGTTATTGTTCCACAACAGATTACATTACAGGACAATCGTTGATCACAAATGTAAAAAAATTGGCACTTGACAAACCTACAGTATCTAAATGGTTCAGTGGATTTAAACAGTTCACAATTCTATGTATGTATACAGAACACAATTACTAAAACACGCCATACACACGTGACCTGAAATAGATACATTATTAGGCTGTTATATATATATTGTAGATCTTTACATCACAAACAATTGGTTTTTGTGACCTGCCTTGTACAGCTTGATAACAGTCTGTCAACACCATGTCTTCAAAGGAAGTGCTTAAAGTTGTTCAAAGCCATTTCCATCTGAAGATTTGTTGTTTGGCAATCAAAGTTTATACATTTTTTTTCAATAAATAAAGTTTCGAAAAAGAAATATTGTTTATCAGATAATCATTCATGAGAGAGATTTTTTTTTTCTTACCAGCAGATCTTCAAGCTAATTTCAACAATAAAACTGAATTTATTCATTTTACTGAAAAGAAGTCGATTTCAAGAATGAATACCCAATTTCTAATAAGACAGTATATATCTTTGATGTTGTTTGTTATGCCAGATTGATTTGCAGGTGTTAATTATTCAAAATGATATTTCTAATATTTTTTCTTTAAAAACTAGGAACTTTATCTTGTCCATGAAGCTGTTATTTAAAAGTTCATAGTTCAAAGTCAGATTAGGTAAAATTCCACTACCTCTTTGTATATCTAGATTAAAATTTTTTTTTTTTGCTAGATAATATTTTTAAAACCGTATTACCATATTTTTTATAACAAAGTGTCATAATTCTCAAAAAAAAAACTACGAATAAAACAAAAAAAAAAAAAAAAAAAAAAAAAAAAAAGAAAAAATAAAAAAAAAAAGAAAAATTGCATAATGCCACTGAAAAATAAACATGTACCTGGTCATTTTATATATTAAAAAAAATAATGATAAAAAATTATTTTTTTCAATTTGTTTCATAAAAAAATATTTATTCTGCATAAAATATTTCCATCGGTTTGGATTTACTGGATAGATATCTACATATTTGTTTTATCAAAAACATTATCCTAAAGGAACAAAATGTATCTAGTGAATGTAATATTTTATAAATCAAAGTATTGAAGATGATATATCAAGACGAAAAAAAAAACTTTGTAAATTGATTCTAAATTAAACCTTAACTAAACTGCAAACTGAAAAAAGGACAAGAAATTAATGAAAATTGCCTAGTAAGATTTCTAAAGATGCTTTTAAATTTCAGTAATATCTGATCCAGCGAAACACATTTTATTGGTTTAAAGATTCCTTTGAAAGCTAGTTTAAAAGCTTCATTGAATATTCAATATCACTTCAAATTCATTTCCATTTAAAGATGCAAATTCTATCTTTGTAGGCGCATAGATTAAACTACCAGACCATGATTATATACATAGAAAGATTTTTTTTCTGTATAATTTGGATGTGAAAACTTTCTATGAATGGGTAGAAATTCAGGTAGTTTCATCTCATTTCAACATTTAATGTATATTTCATGTCCTGACATATGAATGACTGCTTGTGTGGATTATTGGCAGGAACATATTAAACCGTCTAATACATGTATGTACAAAAGCAAGAACGTTCAAAAGATTGAAGAGTAGCAAAACTAAACTTGATGTTAAAATATGTCTGTTTTCATCATATACTAAATATCTTATACATTACTTTAAATTATTAGTGAAATTTGAAAATGAATTTTTCTGCATTTCATGTACAAGAACCCCAAATGAAATTGTCTTCACAAAAATAAAACCCCTCACATCATGTATAAAATGTATTATAAGGCATTTAATGCCAGTTACCAATCTATTTGAATTTACAAGACGATAGATGCTAATTTTTCAATATAATCAAATTATGTAATTCTTATCTGTTGAAATATTTTTACATACCATGTATCAGATGATTTACCCCGGACTGTGTGGTTAAGATAGCCATGAGTGAAATACAACAGCAAAATATGTTGTAAAATCTTGTTTATATTTGAGTACAGTACATACAATACTTTGTACAAATAAAAACTCTAAAAAGAAAAAAAAAAAACACACTTCCTTGATTACAAAATTTTCTTATCCAATGCTGTGACAGAATTCTTTTGAGGAGAGACATACACATCTGTTGAAATAGTGAGTTGCTTCTAAAATGATATTGTTTAATTATCTTATTCTAATTACAAGAAAGTGGATAATTACCTCCTCCATTTGTCCAAGAGCATTTAAAATCAGTTTTCTCTCATCCAAGTAAAATGGGTCACCGATGCCAATGTAGGCCTCATGCTTAACTGCATTAAATCCCATTGTTTTCATCTGTTGCAGGCGACGGAAATAATTATCATTTCTCACTTCGATTCGCATTGGTGACGCAGCTCTGTAGTTGCTGGTCCCCCGGGTCTCGATCTTGGCCCCGACATGTGAAGGTAGCGGTAGACGCTGGGCCTTGATGTAAGATCGAGGGTCTTGAAGGGCTGGTTGCGGCATTGTGGTCCTCTGTAAAAAAAAACATATATACAAAACCATGAAGTTTTTTCTTTCCCTTTTTTTTCTACTTTTGAAAAAAGGTTCTAATAAAGAATTTGTTTATATTATCCACTTCCAAAAAAACATAAACTACTTGCAATGCACAGCCACTAGAGATTGATGTATTGGTATTTGAAAATTAGTTTTTAACAAAACATAACCATTCCTAAATTTAGTTGTTGAGAGACTGTTCAGCTGTGGTAAGTCTGATGGCATTTAAAGGCCAAAGGGACAGCCATAAATTACTGTCTTGTTTTTATTTATTTTCAGCTCAAACCGAAAAGCTCACAGGTTACAATATATCGCAAAACAACTTTGTAACTTTAATAAAGTGTGTATTTAGGATTTTGCCACGGTACAAAATTACAAACCAAAGTCAATAAACTTGCCTGCTAAATATTTGTAACCTTTAGGAATGATCTGTGAGTTTGTGTACACAAACTTAGAAGTTATTAGTGACCAACTCTTTAAGAGATATACCTGCTCTATCAATTAAAGGTAGGCTGATGGCCCCACAATGATATGGTTTAAACCACACAAACCTAGCAGCCAATTATTGAGATACCTGACTCACTATAACACACAAATATTTACATGGCAGTTGTCACTTTCTCACAGTAATAAATCAAATGTTCAAAATGTTTTCATAAACATGTTATATATACTGATCCTAAATCAATGAGTTGACTTAATCTGAGGGTTTATGAGCTAACAAGTAGATTATATAATTTGAGGTGTTAGTAATATATATGTACACTATTAACAAAATGGTAATGTTCACATCTGCTGCATATATTTATTCTATAATGTGAAAAAATTGATTTCATTGTTAGTAAAGTTTGTCCTCTCTATAGAATAATAACCATTAATTACTTCATTATTGATATATTATTGAAAGCAAATTTTCCATTGAATTCTTTTGGTCTTTTTAATCTCTAGGCCTAGTTGTGATATCTATACCGAATCACAAGAAAAAATGAATGTGTCGCTTGTATCTACTTGTATCAATTTGGTCTCTATTCACTCCTATATAATTGACATTTTTACTTATCAAGATATATATATCAGTACATTCTGGTAAATTCAATACTACAAAACAAGGCTTAATTGAGATAGCCAATTCAAAACATTCAATGACAAAACAAGATCATTATTGAAGTTCTTATGAAAGACTTATTGTGAAGACTTAAATTCTTTTAGTACTGAAATCCAAATTACATAATTTTTCTTAAAAGTTACCTTGAAATGATTGATAGGTTCCAGTGATAATCAACTTAATTTGACTAATTACGGTAGTTATATACTAGGATTTCTTATCCCAACTCTTAAAATGGCACCAGTTGTGAATCAAAACTTCCTGGTTAATGAGTTCATGTGTGTTAAAGCACCATAGATATGGGCTGGAATACCAGGTTAATTATCAAGTAGGTAACTGAAAGTTATCCCTGTACAATTCAAGCATTCAGAATCAGGTGTGTGACATCACACAACACTTTGATTCCTATTTATTTCGAGTAACCAAAGGAAAGCTCCTATGAAAAATTCAATGTTTTGATAAAGTAAGACATGTAGTTCATACAATGCACCTGTCTGGGATCTGAATATGGTGCACATAATTAAAATTAGTTCTTTTTGGGGATATTTTCCACCAAAAAAAAAAAAAATATATATATATGAAAATACATTGTACATGATGTAATCAAAGCGTAAAAGTTCTGCCCTGATAACTACTGTGGCAGACATCACTAAAGCAGGAAAGTTAGAGGAGGTTTTAAAAGAATTTGGACAAGGAGACCTCTACACTACTGGTCACTTGATCATGCAAAAATAAATTCCTATATCAAATCATTAATACTTTGATGGTGTGCCGTTTTCGTATATCTTAAGAGGACGGTTATATTACTAAAGAGTACTGTAGTGCAGTATACATACACGTACGTGGTCGTACAATCGTCATCAACTGTTCAAACACTGTCTCGTACAAGAACGTAGTTGAACACATGAACCGATATAACTGTCAACAAATTTAAATTTCGCTTCAGTTTTCCATTAATCCGCTGGACTCGAAAATAACACAGTAAATCATGTATCGCATGTACATTTATCGCGTGTTCTTTAGACACGATCAGCAGGTGAATGCCGGAGGGCACTTGCTACTCATGATCACACTGGCCGCTCTATTGCCAGAATTTTATGTCTGATGCCAACACTTTCATCATGTAATATTTTAAAGAACATACAATTTCTTTCGTAATAATACTTACTCATTCGAGCTAAGTCACTGTTTTGGCACGAAGTGGTCACCGAGTACACGGGTCCATGCACACACAGAAATTCTTACAGACGAAACTAAAACCGGAACATAAATAATCTTGTCTCTCGGGTTACCATGGACGCCGGAAGTCGGGGTGGTCTCAAAAACAAATACAAACTTGTCGTAAAATACTTATTCATTAGCTATTCTGTAACATGTCTAGATTTTATTAATGTAAAATTCTCAACTGATCCTGCTAATTCATAGCAAAAGATGACGTATCAATAATTCATTCTTATTTTAAATAAGAATGAAAAAAATTTAAGCACTTTGTAACCGGAAGCGGAAGTTCATAAAATGTCCTCGTTTAAAAAATGAAAACAGGAAACGCATGTGACTTATGACAGGGCTCTCACTTGAGATCGTTTCTACGGATACTTTTTATGTATATTGTGGGTAAGATATGCGTCGGGAATATTGATTTGTTTTCTTTTGTAAAGCAAATTTAATTGAATCCTTTTTCAAATGTGATTAATCATTGATTGGTGATGTTTTGTTTATGCCCCCACAAGTACTTGGCTAGTATATTCTAGTTTTGACAGTTCGGATGATTGTTTAAGTTGTGGTACTTTAAAAAATCTTGCTTTTATTATTCTGCTTTAATGATATAATCCCTGCCATGTTCGTAATGTTGTAAACATTTATGAACGTCTAAAGCGTTCCATTCTTGTACTATGAGTATGCCTAAAGGGACTGGTATCTGTGTTTTGAGAGAGATGCTAACTCTGGGTCCGTATTACTGGAATACAGATAATAACAACAGGGACATGTTTATGGTGTATTATCCTACATGAGAAAATAAGTTTTACATACTTATGTTAATAGTGTTTTTTCACTAAGTTTACTGTACAAGTGTAGACATGTAACGACATAAAAACATATATGCTCAATAGGAAAGTCATTGTTTTTATTGAAAAAAAAACATGTTCGCATCTGGGTTAATGTTGCCTCTCAGTTTGTTACTTATTAGATTATTCATATAAAAGATACATTGTTGACATTATACATATTGATGATGTCACAGTTTTTACAGCATCTGAGGAGCATTTGCACTGGATGACTTTGTTTTGCTATTTCATGTTTTTCATTGTGTTTGATTGTGTAAATATGTTGAAATTGATTGGATTATGTTAAGTAGGAACAATCAATAACAGACACAATCTCAAATTTTTAAAGAGTATAGCCAGTTTTGCATAAGACCACAATTTTCTCCTAGCTGAACATAGCCCAGTTGATCCAGCTGTGATTGGCTGTCATGACAACAATGAAGGCTGCATTTTTATGCCATGCAGAAATCCCCAGAGGTCTAAATATAACCAGTTTATGTTTTGTTTGATGGACTGTTTAATGCATCCAAGTAGAAGCATTTGACATCGTGATTTGTATGAAGCAGTCCATCAAACAGGTTTTTTTTAATATTCTGAATGAATTTTCAATTTTATCAAGTGTTCATTTAGACAAGTACTTGTCATTAGTGGATCACTGAATAAGGTACTTATATTGTCTGTGTCTGTGGTATTTCTGTTGACAAGTGGTGTTATTGATGCAGAATATGAAAAAAACCTGTCAAATACGTATGTATCATGTTCATATATGACTGTTAGTTACAGTACATGTAGCACATACATAAATATTTAATAGTGGTTTAATATCTAAATACATTAGGAAGTTACACCAATCTTAATTTATGTTATGATTGAATGCACTCATAATGAATAAAAGTTAAGATGGTTAAGGCTTAAGATAATTGATTATCAAAATATTGCTTTACTTTTTTTTTTAAAAATACAATATGTTGAATGTTGATCTGTCGCTAGGGAGCACCTCATCTCATTGAAGTGAGCAGTCATGGTGAGACATAACCTTGCACCAACAGTAAACTGTGACTTGATTGAAACACTAGAAGATGATGAGGATGATGATGGGGAGCTAGACGAAGTTTCTTTGAATTCCGAGTCTAGTCAGGCAGGAGGACTACAGTTGCAAACATGGCCGACCGTCATAGGAGTGGTTCAACTATGTAACGGCTTCATCACAGCTATTTTAGGTAAACGCATGTGGTTCTGTATAGGGCAGTAATGATTTGTCTGCAATATGAGTGTTTATAATTACCTGGTAATAAACCTTTCTGTATATATACCCCTAGGTTAGCTACTAAAGTTAAAATTAAGGTACACTTCAGAAAATTTTGAATAATTATTATGAAATTACACTAGTACTGTATCTAGTGTGAAGTCTGTCCTCTATACCTCTTACAATCTCCATTCATTGTTAAGTCAAGCTGTTTTCAAACCTTTGTTCATCTGACATCAGGTATTGTACTGGCATTCTGGAGTACCCTTGTAGGATATCCTGACTTACCAATAGACCTATTTCTATCCTCTGTGTTATATAGGTACTCTGGAGTTGTTTGTCATCCCCCTTGTGGAGGGTACCCTGATTCACCAATCTATCCTCTGTGTTATACAGGTACTCTGGAGTTGTTTGTCATCCCCCTTGTGGAGTACCCTGATTCACCAATCTATCCTCTGTGTTATATAGGTACTCTGGAGTTGTTTGTCATCCCCTTGTGGAGGGTACCCTGATTCACCAATCTATCCTCTGTGTTATATAGGTACTCTGGAGTTGTTTGTCATCCCCCTTGTGGAGTACCCTGATTCACCAATCTATCCTCTGTGTTATATAGGTACTCTGGAGTTGTTTGTCATCCCCCTTGTGGAGGGTTCACCCTATCCTCTGTGTTATATAGGTACTCTGGACATCCCCCTTGTGGAGTCTATCACCAGTCTATCCTCTGTGTTATATAGGTACTCTGGAGTTGTTTGTCATCCCCTTGTGGAGGGTATCCTGATTCACCAATCTATCCTCTGTGTTATATAGGTACTCTGGAGTACCCCTTGTGGAGGGTATCCTGATTCACCAATCTATCCTCTGTGTTATATAGGTACTCTGGAGTTGTTTGTCATCCCCCTTGTGGAGTACCCTGATTCACCAATCTATCCTCTGTGTTATATAGGTACTCTGGAGTTGTTTGTCATCCCCCTTGTGGAGTACCCTGATTCACCAATCTATCCTCTGTGTTATATAGGTACTCTGGAGTTGTTTGTCATCCCCCTTGTGGAGTACCCTGATTCACCAATCTATCCTCTGTGTTATATAGGTACTCTGGAGTTGTTTGTCATCCCCCTTGTGGAGTACCCTGATTCACCAGTCAACCTACATCTTGGCAAAGACAACTGCTATGGAGCTGGACTTTTGGCTGGATTTTTTGTGAGTAATGTCCGATAAGAAACGAATGTTGAAGAATGATTGTCTAGGAAAACATGAAAGTTGTTTTGGCATGATCTTTTGGAAAATTTGTATGTACTTACAGTTTCCTATGTGAAATATAAGGTAATAGTGAAAAAGGAAATATTGATGTTTTTATTAATGTGATTTTGTGATGTTTACACATATTATGTTATAAATTGATTTGTATACAGTGTATGTGTTAAAAAAACTGTCTTATTTGTTACAGTTATTTGATACTATATGTATATAGATACTATTACGAAAGTATAGCTTCTGATGTTTTTAGGTCATCTGACCCGAAGGGTCCGATGACCTATAGTCATCATGCTTCGTCCGTCGTCGTCCGCCGTGCGACTTCTTCTCAAATACTAGAAGGTCTAGGGGGCTAATACTTGGCACAGAGGATACTGGCATGGAGCTCTACCAAGTTTGTTCAAATGAATGACCTTGACCCACTTTAAAGGTCACAGGGGTCAAATATGTTAAAATCTTTAAACAACTTCTTCTCATTAACCAAAAGGCTCAGAGTGTAGATATTGGGCCAGTGACATGCTGGGATGAAGGACTACCAAGTTTGTTCAAATGAATGACCTTGACCCACTTTAAAGATCACAGGGGTCAAATATGTTAAAATCTTTAAACAACTTCTTCTCAATAACCAAAAGGCTCAGATTGCTGATATTGTGCCTGTGGCATGCTGGGATGAAGGGCTATCAAGTTTGTTTAAATGAATGACCTTGAACAACTTTCAAGGTCACAGGGGTCAAATATGTCAATCTTTAAATAACTTCTTCTCAAATACTAGAAGGCCTAGGGGGCTAATACTTGGCCCATAGCATGCTGGCATGGAGCCCTACAAAGTTTGTTCAAATGAATGACCTTGGCCCACTTTCAAGGTCACAGGGGTCATATATGTTAAAATATACAAAGGACTTCATCTCAATAAGCAAAAGTCTATGAGTGCCGATATTGGGTCTGTAGCATGCTGGGAGGAAAGGCTACCAAGTTTATTTAAATGAATGACCTTGAACAACTTTCAAGGTCGCAGGGGTCAAATATGTCAAAATCTTTAAATAACTTCTTCTCAAATACTAGAAGGCCTAGGGGGCTAATACTTGGCCCATAGCATGCTGGCATGGAGCCCTACAAAGTTTGTTCAAATGAATGACCTTTCAAGGTCACAGGGGTCAAATATGTTAAAATATACAAAGGACTTCATCTCAATAAGCAAAAGTCTATGAGTGCCGATATTGGGTCTGTAGCATGCTGGGAGGAAAGGCTACCAAGTTTATTCAAATGAATGACCTCAACCCACTTTCAAGGTCACAGGGGTCAAATATGTTTTTAAAATATACAAACGACTTCTTCTCAACAAGCAAAAGTCCATGAGTGCTGATATTGGGCCTGTAAGATGCTTGGAGGAGAGGCTACCAAGTTTGTTCAAATGAATGACCTCAACCCACTTTCTAGGTTTGGCTTGCTTTTTGTCAGATGACCGTTAAGGCCCATGGGCCTCTTGTTTTTATATAAATTTTACAGGAACAAGTACAAAATAGATACAATATTAATACATAGTTAATATAATATTAATATATAATTAACATAATATTTATACAAAATTTATATATTATTAATATATAATGAATAGTATATCAATACATAATTAGTATAATGTTTATCTTAAAAACAGTTATGTTATTATACATATAATTAGGCTTAAAAGAATAATAATATCACCGTGGTTTTCAGGTGGTTGTAAAAGTCTCTGGCTTGTGTTTATTGTTATATATGTACCGACTCAAAATAAGATTGACTTGACTCGTGTTTCCAAAAAATGACAAAATTAAATAGGAAGGTGGATCAGGATTTTTGTGTTTTTCGATTCTGTATAGATTTTGGGAAGATTATGTAAACTACGATAATATAGCGTAAGTTTTGAATTTAATAGTCTCTCCTTGAAAGCGGGAAGTAAAACTGCAACGACAAAATTTAGTTTTGTAGAGCATCAGCACAAATTTGATAATGTTTGTTTTGCAATTATACATGAAATAGATATCTTTCAGTTAACACTTGAATTTTAGTTTTTTTTTTTTACATAAATTTTTTTAAAATGAATTCTGGTTTTTCACTGCAGAACTATTCAATGATATGTATATGTTTTAGATGATATTAACAGGAAGTGCAGCCATCAGATCGTCCATCAGTCGACGGCCAACCTCTGTGAGTAGATTTAAATATTTTTGGCTAGGTTAATTTGTTTCCCAAGACAATAAAACTGTGATATTAATTCAAATATTGTTCTCATAAAAAAGTAATTTATTGTACATATACATAATAAACTTTTACACTTCTTCAACTTAAAAGGTCCACCTCATAGCTTTTGAGTGCATTTTACTCTGTGGTTTTGCATTGACTTAGAAACATTTGTCTGATGTTAGTTTCATATTTTGTGTTTAAACAGATAGAAATATAGGAATATACAAGTCTAGTTCGACATTCCATAAAAGATATTTGATTTTATTTAAAATCTGTAATGTGATCTTTGAACAGGTGAGGAAATTTTTCAACTTGACGTTGTTTACACTTGTGCTATATATGGCTATCACAGTGCTGCTCATTGTTGGCTATGCTCTCGACTGGACAAAACGAAACCAGTACAAGGTCAGTCTGGCTATTAGTAAACAAATTACATGTCTTCTGGTATTTGGTAGAATACGCTCTCTGACCATATTTAATCAAGCCATGTTCCTTTTTTTAATTAAAAGTGATTTGTCACAGTGACATTGATTAATCTATGTTTTGCTAATTTGATTTATAAACGAATTTATTGAAAAAAAAGTAGATCTTTATTGTTTTTATCAAATCATTTATGAAATTTCAAACCACACTATATTTTCTGATTGCATTTAAATCACATGTACATGAACCTTCTGTTGATTTTTAAGCCCAGCCCATATATGAAGGACATGACATTCCCCATATCCACCATTCCCCCTGTTTCATTCAGCCCTGTTCCGAATCAATACCATATTTTGAGAATATCTCTGATGACAGATTTAGTTGGTATTTACCTTATAGAATCATAACATGAAGTTCTACACCTGATCAGATTTTTGTTTGCGAAGAAGGTGGAACAGATATGTCTTATAGGCATTTTCTAGTACTTATCGACCAATCACAACTAAATTGTCCAACTGTGCAATCTTAAAATTTTTTTTTTGTCTATTGATAATGTGTCCTGCAGGTGTGTGACCAATCCAGATTTAGACAAAGATTGCATGATGTATGGAAGATGTACAAAAAATGTGATGACAGTGCTTATAGTAATAGATGTGGAGTGTGCTACTAGACAACGAAACTTAATGTAGAAGGGGCATAATACATCTAGATTCCAATCCCAGAATGTGGGTGTTATGTATAAAAAATTATCATTTTTTGTTTGTAGGAGGGCAGTAGGGTGTATGAGGTACATATATTTGTCACCATCAGCACTGTACTTGGATTTCTCTTCTGCATTGCTGCCTTTATCCAATACTATGAGATTGTATTCTTCGGACATTTCCAGTTGTGTCGACGATGGATATTATGTTTATGTCCAAGTCTAGCTGAGGTAAGTTTAGGTCGAATTCGCCTATGTCAAGTAAGGCTTAAGTAGAAACATGACATTCAACCCATGTCCTGGCAGTCTTAGATAGATGTTGACCTGTTTTCACTGTTTGTTGGAGGCTAAACCCACTGAACACTGAAAACATTGACATATTTTCTCTGTATATCCATGTTTACACATAAACTGTAAGGACATTGTCTTTTATTCACTAAAAGCATGAACCTCAATAATCATTGTCATGTTTTCTCTTATGTTCCTTATGTTCACCACATGTATAGGACTAACCTTGTGTTCACCACATGTATAGGACTAACCTTGTGTTCACCACATGTATAGGACCAACCTTGTGTTCACCACATGTATAGGACCAACCTTGTGTTCACCACATGTATAGGACCAACCTTGTGTTCACCACATGTATAGGACTAACCGTGTGTTCACATGTGTAGGACTAACCTTGTGTTCACCACATGTATAGGACCAACCTTATGTTCACTACATGTATAGGACTAACCTTGTGTTCACCACATGTATAGGACTAACCTTGTGTTCACCACATGTATAGGACTAACCTTGTGTTCACCACATGTATAGGACTAACCTTGTGTTCACTACATGTATAGGACTAACCTTGTGTTCACCACATGTATAGGACTAACCTTGTGTTCACTACATGTATAGGACTAACCGTGTGTTCACTACATGTATAGGACTAACCTTGTGTTCACCACATGTATAGGACTAACCTTGTGTTCACTACATGTATAGGACTAACCTTGTGTTCACCACATGTATAGGACTAACCGTGTGTTCACCACATGTATAGGACTAACCTTGTGTTCACCACATGTATAGGACTAACCTTGTGTTCACTACATGTATAGGACTAACCTTGTGTTCACCACATGTATAGGACCAACCTTGTGTTCACCACATGTATAGGACTAACCTTGTGTTCACCACATGTATAGGACTAACCTTGTGTTCACTACATGTATAGGACTAACCTTGTGTTCACCACATGTATAGGACTAACCTTGTGTTCACCACATGTATAGGACTAACCTTGTGTTCACCACATGTATAGGACTAACCTTGTGTTCACCACATGTATAGGACTAACCTTGTGTTCACCACATGTATAGGACTAACCTTGTGTTCACCACATGTATAGGACCAACCTTGTGTTCACCACATGTATAGGACTAACCTTGTGTTCACCACATGTATAGGACTAACCTTGTGTTCACCACATGTATAGGACTAACCGTGTGTTCACCACATGTATAGGACTAACCTTGTGTTCACCACATGTATAGGACTAACCTTGTGTTCACCACATGTATAGGACTAACCTTGTGTTCACCACATGTATAGGACTAACCTTGTGTTCACTACATGTATAGGACTAACCTTGTGTTCACCACATGTATAGGACTAACCTTGTGTTCAACACATGTATAGGACTAACCTTGTGTTCAACACATGTATAGGACTAACCTTGTGTTCACTTTTTGTATTGGACTTACTTTTTGTTCACTATATGTATAGTAAACCTTGTGTTTAATGTGTGTGTAGAATGATACTCAGTTCACACAAAAAGAATGTTGTGTTTTTTATCCAAACTTCTTTAATTAAAAAGTAATCATATCACATTTTTGAAATTATTTCATTTGGAATATTGAAGGGCCTGCAGCCTCTTAATTACAAAATATTTGCCCTTTGTTTAAATTTTATAGTGAATTGTCATTTTCAGGAAGCTTTCACCAGTTTTACTGATACTATTGTTTGTTTTGCAAATCTGGCTGAAGTGTACATTTATCATCCCCAGTTTTCACCGAAATGGGGGATATTAATTTGGGTTCGTCCATCCGTCTGTCTGTCACACTTTCGTTTCAGTGTTCTAACTTCTCCAAATATCATCCAATTTGGGTGAAACTTGGTCAGCAGATGCATCTTGGGGTCATTAAGACTGAGTTCAACTGTGATTATCATCTGTTAATAATTATGCATACTAATGAGGTATCCTTTGATTTCATTGGTTGGTTTATTTCCGTGCTCTAACTTCCTTAAATATAATCCAATTTAGATGAAACTTGGTCAGTAGATGCATATTAGGGCACATAATACTGAGTTAAGCAATCAGCAATCATCTGTTAATATTTATGCATGCTAATTAGGAGAATATATCATTTTACATAGCATTATGACATGTTTACTGCTAACCTATAAAATATTTACTTACAATATGTTTGGAAAGCGGGGGATATACATTTCTTAAATTTGCTTGTTATTCCGAATCTAGTTAATGTGCTTTTTAGTTTTATTTTAGGCTGCTAATCCTCACAAAACTCAACTAAACCATACAAGGCAGATAACTGTCATTTCTATCACCATGACTTTTGACTCACCTGGTCCATTAACTAGCCATAAACAGCTCCTTGAAGTTATCCATCCTCTCCTTACAATATGTTACTCTATAATAGGCAGTTGTGGTAGTATGCCTGCCCAACACTGATAGCATTTTGAATTAGAAATACGAGCATCAGATGTTCTGTATTTCTATTGTGTAGATAGTCCACTTGTCTTCTTTGTGATTCTATGTTGACTCGTGTATCGCAGGATGTGTACAGTATATCATATACACTGTACTATAGGAGGTATCGATATATTTTTGTTGATGTTGATGTTTACACATTCAGTAAATCTATAGCTAACTGCCTCACCGATTCATCCTCCACACTTCAGCATTCTTTATTTTTTCCGATGTTTTTGTCTTAGCATATCTATGAGTCAAAATTTGGGACAAGAAATTAAATTTTTTCACTCATGCAATGCATGTTGTTAAATACATTTATCTTACAACAGGTTTCAGAAGTCAAAAGTTTAAAAAATGCAAGCAAATCGAGTTTCAAAGTACTATAATGATACGGATGCTCCTGGGAAATTATGATCATAAGTCATAAGGAAATGTGTTTTAATTTTTCTCTTTTCAGAAATATGATGATGATTCAGATTCAGATATTCAACATTGGCCTTTTGGTAAAAATCTCATTTTCCCTTCCGATTGCTTCATAGCAGGTCACCTGTAGTATGTGCGGTTGACTGGAGGCCAGTGCTACAACACTTCACTATTGTTTCTTCTAATTAATGTTACATGATAAATCTGACTACCAGCTAAATATATCTTGTTGATACTGTCCCACTCATTACTTCACCACTACAATATATACCGATACTTAGGTCACACAAAAAGAATGTTATGTTTTTCATCTAAACTTCTTTAATTAAAAAGTAATCATATTACACAGGGCTCTCCATCTGCCAGATTTGGGGCCCCATTCCCAATGCAAAATTGTATCTTTTTTCCCAATTTAGACCCCAAGTTTTCCCAATTCTAAGGAAAACACAGCTATTTTTCCCAATTCTAAGAGCCCCGGGCCCCAGTCCCAAAATGGAATGTGAGAGCCCTGTTACACTTTTGAAATTATTTCATTTGGAATATTGATAAAGACTGAAAACTGTTTGCTTGTGGGGGGAGTTGGGAAACAATGAAACTCATTATGAGTTTTCCTTGCCCTGAACTTAACAGAATCCAGGACTGTGCATGTAGTACTGTTACTGGCTTCTTCTTTTCATCGTGACTGACTGTAATTGGTGACCACTATAGGTTCATCTCTATCATACATATGTATGTGATATATATGTATGTCTGATCCAATGTTTGACACGGATTTAGAATCAGATGGAATGTTTGGTTTTAGAATAAACAGGATTACCTACCATGCCATTTGTCTTTACGTACAGGGTCCTCTCTAGGATTAGGGCGTCACAGATGAAACACTAATTGTTATTTTTACTTGCTGCTTAGACATTGCCTTTAGTCTAGCTACTGCTATCTAATTTAACCTTGAACTTTGTTTCCAAATAAAAACGTACCCAACACAAGAGTTGTCATAACCCTGCTTATCACTTTAACAAACGCTTCAGGAAAAACGCTTTCAAGCTTGCACTGTATACAAATACCCAACAAACACTTAACTGATCCTGAAGACATTTTTATACGCTGTCATTTTATGGGGGTAGGAATGAGTATTTTTCAGAATCAATATTATCATTCTAACAACTTCATTTTGTAGGGAGTCTGATCAAACTGTGTACACAGTTCATCTATGACAGTACCACATACAATTTTATGTTTCAGGGTAACAAGGTCAAAGTTGCCATTACTATTGACAAAAATTTGATTGTTTTATGTCATAAAGATGTAATCTAGATAATAAGTGAAATTGCCTGAAGATAATTAATGCATGTCTTGAAAATGTCAGCGAAAATTGACTGATGATAGTCCATACATGGCTTGAAAATGTCTATGAAAATTGCCTGAAGCTAGTCCATACATGGCTTGAAAATGTTAGCGCAAATCGCCTGAAAATAGTCAATTCAAGGCTTGAATATGTTAGCGAAAACTGGCTGATGATAGTCCATACATGGCTTGAAAATGTTAGCGAAAATTGCCCGAAAATAGTCAATTCCAGGCTTGAATATGTTAGCGAAAACTGGCTGATGATAGTCCATACATGGCTTGAAAATGTCTATGAAAATTGCCTGATGATAGCTAATACATGTCTTGAAAATGTCTATGAAAATTGCCTGAAGATAGCTAATACATGTCTTGAAAATTTTAGCAAAAACTGGCTGATGATAGTCCATATATGGCTTGAAAACCTTAGCCAAAATTGCTTGATGATAGTAAATACATGTCTTGAAAATATCTATGATAATTGGCTGATGATAGTAACTACATGTCTTGAAAATGTTAGCCAAAATCACCTGTAGATAGTCAATACTTGGCTTGAAAATGTTAGCCAAAATCACCTGTAGATAGTCAATACTTGGCTGGAAAATATTATCAAAAATTTCCTGAAGACAGTGAATACATTGCTTGAAAATGTTAGCGATAATAAACTTCCGCTTTGTTGATTCTTGATGTTTACATATTAAAGTGATACACAGTGTGTTCATCAAATTGAATACACCATGTGTGTGTGTTTATGTTTCTTACATTGCTGGTGTCACTCTTGTGTTTCCATAGGTACCAGCTAGAATGCGAAGTCCATCACAAGAGGGCCTCCTGGACAGCGATCCCAGTAGCATGCCAGTCTGAATGAATGAACAGTGAAAGATGGAAGAAAGGAAATGATAGGCTTGGAGTAACAGACGTGTGCATGAACAAGGACAATTTTATACAACCTATTTAAATGTTTATAATATTACTCTTCGTAAACTAATGAAATAATTGATTTAAAATTTATACAAAATTTTCAGGAGACTTAAGTACATCAAGAAACCATTCTAGGTGGCTGAAATATTAAATAATTCTATATTGTTAAACACTTGAAACAATTACTGAATGATATACTTATAAACAACATTCTTATATATATAAACAAATATGTTATCTTTACAAAACATACTCTATGCTGATGAAGGTTACTTTTTCGTATATAGAGAATATAGACAATTGATTTTAGAGATTTTGAACAGAAAGACAACTGAATGAGAATGTATGTAATGACATTCTTGGAATGTGTATCTGACAACATAAATACCTAACACAAAGGAAATGGTAATTTATCAAATTAGTGTAGTGTTATAGGGCAGAGCCATTCTGATAAACTTCTGAAATTGATCATAAATTCTAAAATTGTTCAAAATGTGAATTTTTTTACATATATTTTGGATAGTTGAACTGAATCTCAATAGGCAATTATCAGAGGTATTAGGAATTTACCTTTGAAAAGGAATATTTGTACTGAAGCCTTTAGATCTACTTTATATGTCTCAATTAAGATTTTTAACAATTGGTTCTGAAATTTTGTGTTTCGTGTTTAGTGTACTAGCAAAACGTTTAAGTTTTTTCTTGAAATCTTTAACTAGCTCCTTCTGTGTAAATTATATAGCAATAGAAGTGTTATTTGAGTAGAGAAATTGCTCCAATTTGAGCAAGACTTGATACCATGGCTATGTTATGAAGTTCAGTAAGGTTTGACTTTACTGAAAATGTCGCAAATAGGTGTTTTCTTTATAATTTGACAGACTTAAGAAAACTTTTATTGAACAGATACACGGTATAAGTATTAAAAAGTCTAAACATGTTTATCAGCAATTCAATGTGAGTGATTGTGATTGTGAAGAATTACAGAAGAATAAGTTATATATTGTACATTGAGAGAGAGGGAGAGAGAGTGAGAGAGAGAGAGAGAGGGGGAGAGAGAGTGAGAGAGAGAGGGAGAGAGTGAGAAAGAAGAGAGGATTGGAAAAAATGTTTACTTGGATACATTTCGGAGGTGTGTATTTCTGGAGTTTTATTTGTCGAACAAAGACTCTACAGAGATTTACATGTGTGTGAATTCCATCACAATCGATTATCAGACTTTTCTGACAGTAAGTTTATACCATGGGTCTGATTTAGTCTAAACTGTTAATTAAACCCATGTAAGAGATATAGTGAAAGGTTACCTCCCTTGTTTTAGTCCTTGGTCTTTCATTGACTCCCCAGACGAGGTATTGCAGGATGAAAGTGTGAAAATAAGTGATTTAGAAGACTAGGGAAACTAATAGCAAAATACATAACCAACATGTGGTGTGTAAGGCTGGTACATGTAATTACTGGTCTTCATCCACTTCTTGGCAAGAGATAACTTCAGAATAAGCTTGACCAATTATGTAAAATCTAGTAAACCAGAGGTTCAAGATTTTATCCATAGCAAGGCAAGAAATAAAATACTGACATCTTACAAATGTATATATGTGAAGTATGGAAGGATTGAGAGTTCAAATTTTTCTTTAAAGTATCCCAACTTATGTTTGGTGCAGAAATTGTTATACTTTATGATATTCATTTATATATTAATAAATCTATGTATTTTTTCTTCTTTTTTTTTTTTAAATAATGCTTACAGAAAGAACCCCATCTGTTAACCAATACAACATTTAATAAAATGACATCGATTATAATATGTTACATTTATGAAATGTTTCCTATAAAAATGTTCAAAATACAATGTATTGAATATTGATATGGAGTTCATGACTTGTAAAAAATAGTACCAGGATCCTGTACCAATTTTATTTATTTTATTATTTGTTTAAAATTATGACCTTTAAATTTTGAAAAAAAAACCAACAAAAAATGCTAAGAATATTACAAAATAGAAATGAAATAAAAATAATGTTTAACTTTGGTAATCTATTAAAAAAAATGAAAATTAATTATTTATGGTATTCCATAATGATTTGACTTCATATATATGTATATATATGTATGTACTCTCTACTCTGGAGACATCTGGTGAGATATTATCTCCCCTACACTTAGTATTATGTATTCTTCATGCTGTAAACTTTTTTTACATGCACTTCCTCCATATATACTATAGTGTTTATATTTGGACATTCTGAAAATTTAGTGTACTATTAATTTTGATAGCATAGAGCTATAATGAATTACTGCACTCATATGATTGACCTTAAGAAACAATACTGATAAGTATGTACAATGGACAGACAATACAACTAGTGCAATCATGATTAGTTAAAATGCTTTCTGTATTTTTAAGTGTAAACAAGGATTAATTGCTTCATATTAAGTTTACTACCAAAATGAGATTGTCGTGAAAGTCAGATAACTATTTTATGTACAGTGGCCAAGTAGTTAAGGTGTTTGACTGTTTTCATCATTAGCCCTCCACCACTAGGTCGCGGGTTCAAGGCCTATGTAGGGCAGTCTTCAGGTACTGACTGCAGGTTGGTGTTTTTTTTTTTCTGGGAACTCAAGCTTTCCTCTACCACCGAACCTGGCACGTGCTTGAAAGACCCTGACTGTAAGTAGGACGTAAAGCAAAAATTAACCAAACTAGACTCAAGCTCCAGCGTACAGTGATAAGTACTGTCATGTAGATTTAACATTTTTGATGAAAATTATCATCGTTTCGTCAAGTCATATAGTGTTATGAATGGAACATATATGTCTAAACAAATTATCAACTTCAGTTTTGTGAAATATATTTTCAGGCTCCTCACACTGTGTATAGGGGAAAATTTAATGGATCATGTTTCATCAACAGTTGGTTTGTCACAGCTATTTCAATGCCTGGATTTTCTTGCCTTTTATTAAAAGATTAAAAGTTTGCAGAACATAATTGAAAAATTGTTATCTAAAATTTAATCAAAATATAATTATATAGAAGTAAAGCCAGTAAAGTACTAACTAATGGGATATTTATGTGTTTGTGTTGTGATCTGAAGTTGGTAAAACTGTGGGAAGGTTGTAGATGTTACAGATATATAATAGACTAAAACCTTTTTATAATGTTTATATATGTATTCATCAGTTATTCATTCAAATTTGATTTTCAGTTATTTCTTATTTTATTGAACATAATTAGCGAAGAAATTGTATTAATGAAAATCACACAATGCTCTACACACGTGTGTATATGTACATTTCAGATCAGCTACAGTGTATTGCACATGTTTATAGCGTCATAAGTTTTTCACAGAAACCACAACTTGTCAAATGAATTTCTCCAAGAATGTTTTTTTGTATATGTCGCTAGTGTTATAAACATTGGAGTTGCATTCATTGGCTTTGCTAGTCAGAATTAACGGCAATGTCTCAATATGGACTATGATATTATGTCCTGGGTTGCAAATAGTGCATCAAAATGGCAGTGGCCATTCAATTTTGTCCTTTTTTACTTCAAAACCTGTCTAAATGTTACTGTTCTTATTTATTTGGATATGTGATAAAAATTATCAGAATTTGTTTTCGTTTCAGATGAGATTTTATACAACTCATCTGTAGTTTCAAGTTTAGTTTGCCAAGGCTCGAAAAATACAAAAAAAAAATCACTTGTTTAAGATCTCATTTGAGATGAAAACTCATCAAAGATACTATATATAATGCCAGTTCCATAATTTAGTACCACATATATTATCTATTTTGATGTTAGTAACATTGTGCTACATGTTTGTGTGATAATAATTACACATGTGTGTGTGTGTGTGTGATGATAATTACACGTGTGTGATGATAATTATACATGTTTGTGATGATAATTACATGTGTGGGTGATGATGATAACACTTGTGTGTAAGATGATGATTACACATGTGTGATGATGATTACACTTGTGTGTGATGATAATTACATGTGTGTGTGATGATAATTACCCATGCTTGATGATAATTACACGTGTGTGATGATAATTATACTTACATGTGTGTGATGATAATTACATGTGTGTGATACGATGTTGCTAATACCATGTTTCACAAGGATGGTGTTTTTACATGTTCACAAGTGGTTTATATTATCGTGTTAGTTAAAAGATATAAATAACATGAATGCATGTCTTCTGTCAGAAATGCATTATATTGCATGTGTTTGGGTATTAACAAGAAAAAATTGAATGTACCGTTTGCCTTCATATTTTTGTTAGAACATACCGAAGTATACTTGTGGTATTGAGACTTAATTGAAATATCTATTTATTTCTGGTTTGTTACAACCACTGCCTTACAGTAATACAGTGAATAGGAGTGATATATCCAGGAACTTACATCATTATGTTATCTTTAGGGCATTTTATACTAATCTGTACTTCTTTGATATCAGGAGAAGACAACTTTAAAAAACAGAAAATACGAAAAGAACAAAATGGGGTTGTACAATCAAAACATTTAATAAGGTAGATTTACATCATTTTGTATATAAGTATGCAGAATGAACAAAATGTTGATTTCAAGTGTGTGTACTTTACTATTCCAAATAACTACACTGCATTATTGAATAAAAAATGCAACAATTTGTCCAGAAAGTTTTTTGTTGATTTTTTGTATATATTTTTATGAGTTAGACGTGATATTAATAGTTCACAATTTTTCAGGACCATTTCATTGAGATTGAATTATCAATGCTCAGGTGTAGCAACATTTGAACATTGTGTCCATAGCTAAGGATGCTACAGCTAGATATCAAATGTCCAAATATTGCTACAGCTAGATACTAAATGTCCAAATATTGCTATAGCTAGATATCAAATGTCCAAATATTGTTACAGCCAGATGCTAAATGTTCAAATGTTGCTACAGCTAGAAACTAAATGTTCAAATATTGCTACAGCTAGATACTAAATGTTCAAATGTTGATACAGCTAGATCTCAGATGTCCAAATATTGTGACAGCTACATACTAGATGTCCAAATATTGGTACAGCTAGATATCAAATGTTCAAATATTGCTACAGCAAGATACTAAATATTCAAATGTTGCTACAGCTAGATACTAAATGTCCAAATATTGCTACAGCTAGATACAAGATGTCCACATATTGCTACAGCTAGATATCAAATGTCCAAATATTGCTTCAGCTAGATACTAGATGTCCAAATATTGCTACAGCTAGATAACAGATGTCCAAATATTGCTACAGATAGATACTAGATGTCCAAATATTGCTACAGCTAGATACTAGATGTCCAAATATTGCAACAGCTAGATACTAGATGTCCAAATATTGCTACAGCAAGGTACTTGATGTCCTAAGGTTGTTACAGCTAAATTCTATCTGTCTGTAAATGTGTTTCTTCAACCCATATATCACATTCCCTCCCGAAGGGTAAGTTTTATTTTCTGTAAATGTTATCTGAAGGTCATCTTTTCATAACATAACCAAATGACTACCTGTAACACAATTCATATTTATCTGATTCTTTTAAAATTTGATTGACTGTCTTGGATTAGATGTCGGAGAGGAAAGGTTTATGCCTGCCGACAGCCTTTCTAGATTCCCACATGGATAACATAGATTTTGTGATCGATATTGGTTTCCCAACATTAATCATTAATGTAACTAATTTCCAACCAATATTGATGCACGTGTTTGAAGGTAACATCAAGCATCTTGGAATGTCTTGATATAATAAGCATTTTTCTCAATGTAATTGCATATACATATGTTTTTCTACATGTCTGTTTGTATCACGTGTTCTTTTTTTTGTTGAATTTTCCTTACACAATGTATAGTTTAGTTTTTTCATCGCTGTTTTACGTCCTATTAACAGCCAGGATCATTTGATGATGTGTCAGGTTTGGTTGGTAGAGGAAACCCCACTGACCTGTGGCCAGTACCTGGCGACTGCCCCGCGTAGGCCTTGAACCCGCTACCCAGAGGTGGAGGTTGTATAGAAAACAGGGGTTTATTATGCAAAGTATTCAATTAAGTGATTAGAATCGTTAGTCCGATACCCCTATCATTCGTGGATTGGTTTCAACAGTCAAACAGAGGACTACATCCATTGTGAATTATATTACTATGCTTTACTGTCTCCCAATGGTACTGTAGGACAGCTGAGCGTTTATCGTTTTTGTATAGCATGGTTTGAGTAACAATGCTCATATATCAAATATCAACGTCGGTATTGCATGGACAGAACATTTATTGTTTATCTATTATTGATTAACGGCTTATTAACAGCAAGGGGTATTTAAGGACGTGCCAGGTTGGTTAACGTCGTAGTTAACAGAGAAAAAAATACACCGACTTGCGGGCAGTCGCAGACGACTGCCCTGCGTGGGTCTCGAACCTGTGACCAAGAGGTGGAGGGCTCGTGATAAAGACAGCCAGACGTCTCAACTGCTTGACCTTTGCGACCCAGTAGATGGAATAAGGGGTAAATACCAACATTAAAAATCTGTATGAAACAGGGACTAAACACGAACAGAAAGATATACATGGATTGGTGTAAAAATATACAGTGTAATGTCTAGATGTTCAGGAATGCTTACCGCCTTCTGCTTCATCGGTGACACCAGCCAAGTAAATCTTGCTCACTTTAAGCAAAAGCTATGCAACTGTGACATTCTCATAATGTAAACTCAACAACAACAGTGAAACTAGTAGGACAAGCTACATCTTAAAGACATCGGAAACTTCA